CGACCATGAAGGTGTTTCTTAAGTCCTCATGCAGTTGAAAGAAACATTTCTTTCTAACTTTACTTATACATTTTTATTTCCACAGAGCTTTCTAGACCTGTACCATTGGGCCCAGTCACATGAAATGACTGTGTAAAGTCACATATATTACCAGGACCTGTTGAGCCCGAAAGAGCTTTTGGAGTTATGCCCAGCTAGGTTTCAAGTGTGACCCTGGTTGAGAACCTGAGGCAGGGTTAGTGGTTACTTACAACTTTCAGAGGTGTTGCCCCACAAGTCACTGGATATGAGACCCTGTTCATTAAGTTGTACTCTAGGGATCAGTTGGGATTGTCACTGTTGTACTAGTCTCCCCGCTTCATAACAATCTCCTTGTCTCAGCTCTTTGACTCTATCTCTGGATTGGCAGTGGAGTTCCACAGATGTACGGTCTTGGGGGACTTCAATCTGTCTTCCCTGGGAATGCAGTCTAAGACAGGTCATGGCCACCATGGCAGCCATGTGCCTAGCCCAGGTCATCCAGAACCTGACAATAGAATAGTGTCACGCATTAGATCTGGTGGTCATGTCAGAGCAGTGGATATGTGATTTGCATTTGGGAGATTGTCATGGTCGTATCACACCCTGATTACTATGAGATTCTCTGGTACTGCAAACCATTGCAGAGCAGCTGAACTCTTTAGACCTGGGGTGTCAAACTCAACTTCATTGAGGGCCGCATCAGGGCTGTGGTTAACTTCAGAGGGGGAGGTAGGCATGGCCAACTGAGTTGGTGTGGCCAACTGGTTGGGTGTTGCCAGCTTGACGCCATTCCCAAACTGCTGGCATGTTTCCTCTTTGCACTGGTAGACCAGGCCAAAGTCACACTGGCCCAATGTTTCCTCTTTGCACTGGATAGACTGGGCTAAAGCCATGCGGGCCTGATGTTTCCTCAATGTGGGGCCGTCCTGGAAAATGTAAGGGGCCATCCCCACAAGCCAGATCTGACCACATCGGGGACTGGAACTGGCCCACGGGCCTTGAGTTTGACACCCCTGCTTTAGATTGATCCACCACTGGTGTCTGATGGACGCAGAAAGGTTTCAGAGGAAGCTGGGGTTATTATTGTTGGTCTGCTGCATGGTTCTTCAAAGGCCTTGGTTGCCACTTGAAATAAAGGAGCATTGGATTGGATCACACCTATGTGGCCTCTCCCCCGTCATGGATCCTGTCAATCCCGATTGTTTACAGAGAAATTGAGGGAGATGAAACAGAAGAGAGATCTAGAATATCTGCTGGCATTCAACTAAATCCAAACTTGACTTATCACGGTGCCCTATTCATAGTCACTCCTGCCCTGGTCATTTCCCAGGTGGACTATTGCAATATGTTCTATGTGAGGCAGTTTTTGAAGAATATCTGGAAACTTCAGCATGTGCAAAATGCAATGGTGTGAGCAGTTATGTATGTTTCTGGTAGAATGCATGTTACATCTCTGCACAAATTGCATTAGTTACCAGTCTGCTTCCGGGTCCAATTCAAGGTCCTGGAGTTGTTCTTTAAAGCGCTTGTGGCATGGGGTCATGTTTCAGCTTCCAGATGGACTTCAAATCAAATATCTGACAGCAAAGAAACTTCTAATTTTAATTTCCTCAAACGCTAATCCTTCCTTGTAATCACACAGATTACACAAACAGAAGAGAAAGCAGCTATGATGTGAGAATATTTAAAGGTCTATGGCCTCTCAAAATCCATTGGAATTGGGGGGCATATAAATGTAATAAAAAAAAGAATCTCTTTCATCCACTAGTGAATTGCAAAAAACAAATATTAGATATTTAAAAGTGTTGAAGACCCTTTTCCAACTTTCCAGAAGTATAAAACAGGTCCATAATCTGGAGTCACGGGGCCATATACAGTTTGCCAGTGTTGCATATGGTTCAAAGGGTGGTTCAAAAAATTGCAGTTAAATTGTGATTTTTAATACCACAGAAAGAGAAATTATAAAGGGATAATATTTCATTGTATTTAATTGAATGGTTATAATGAAACACCTATAATCTGTTTAGAATATGACCTTTGGCATGCAACTTGGTATTTGAAAGAGGAGCTATTTCTTAAAAAATGGTTTCATACTTATAAAACATAAAAATATCTCTGCTGGATCTATGAATATAACATAGCTTTCTGTTTCACATTAGCTGGCTCTCCCAACATATCAACTGGTAAACCACAATGGGTTTGCAAAGCCAAAATTAAGCCACATTGTGGCTTAGTAAACACATGCGAAATGGCCAAGTAGAACATCATTTGCCTTTAAAGAGTAATATAACATTTACTGTATGTCACAATGGTGTTATTGGATCTACTGACATACTGTTTTTATAATTTGATATTGTGTATAAAATTATGAATAACATCCATAGATAATTCACTCTGAGTTGTCTAATCATCCTGTTGAATTATCCAAACAAACAGATACTTGAATGCTGAGATGTGAACTTCTAACCTGAGAATACATTTTTGAGAGATATGATGACTTTTCACACTTGCTGTTTCTTTAATTCTATGTTTGGATGTTGGTGGCACCAACTCTTCTCATACCTGTTCAGAGTCACGTTAGAACTATCGAAATATGCAGTTCCAGTGGGGGCATGATGAATTAAACATGTTTCCTAGAGAGTGGAAATGAAGACCACAGAAAAGACTGAAGAACAGGTGAGTAAAGCAGTTCTTTGGAACCTCTTTGGGCAAGGAAAGGACAGGAGATCATCAACATGTACTCCAGATCCCTGTTCCTCCTGAGGAGACCACAGGATAACTGTCTGAATGCCGGGAGAGGAAGGGATTAATTATCTTGTTCACAAGCTGGAATGTGGCAGAACCTTAAAAAGGATGTGACATTCACTAACCTCATCACTTTCAGAAATTGGTCATCTAACCATTTAAAAGTTATTAGAGATCTTTGGAATGGTAAATTTGAAAAGCCACCTCATGAGTCTATTTTCTAATTCTGAACAAAGAAAAATTACTATAGATTTAAGAATCCAAAGAATTTCAAATAAATGGCAAATAGCTAAATAAGATTTTGAACCAAGAAAGATATAAATGAATTAAGGATTCAGACAAATTTGTAATATTGAAACTTTTAGTTAAAGGTTTTGGAAATAATTATATAAACAGTTTTTGTGGAAACCAAAATTATTTTGTTTATTGTAAGTCATAATAGAGATTAGAAACTTTTTGATATAAATTAGACACTAACAGGGACTAAAGATTCCAGGCAAAAAGAAAAAAAACCCCTGCTTTTGGTTTCGATTAGGATTAAGATTTACAAAATGATATTAAACACTATAACATTGGAAATAGAAAAGGAGATCTTTGAAGAGTTCAGAAATTAGTAGCCATGATATCAACAATATCAGTAACAATATCTGCTTCTATGGATATACCATTTTTAAAGGAAGTTAATGAAGGAATGACAGATGTAAAACAATGTTGCTTGATGCAGAAATAGTAGAATCAGAAATATTGGATTTAAAAAATGTAGATTACAGAGAAGACTTTTAAAATGGAAGTAAAAGTGACAGGCCAAGAGAATGACCCCAATAAGGACTCTATACTGGATGTATATAGGAACCTGACTTAAGTTTTAAAAATTAAAAGGGAAATACAAATGATAAATGAAAAGAATGACTTGGATGTTTTTTTAAATTAGGTTTGCTTTGTTAAAGCCTCAAAGGCAGCTATGCAGTGGGACAAAGAAGAATCTATATACTGCTAAAATTCTCATGTCTGTAACCTTTAAGGGGGTGAAATGAATGGTGTGAATGAGTTTTTAATGTTTTTAATGTTTTTTTAATTTTTCAATGTCTTTTTATAATGATTTTTTAAATGTATTGTGAGCCACCCTGAGTCTTTGGAGAGGGACGGCATATAAATTTAATTAATCAAATTAAATTAAATGGTGCATATTAGTAGGGCAAAATGTTTTCAATCAAGGCATCTCAAATGGACTAACTTATGGAATTCTGGGACCCATTTCTATGAAGGAAATCAAATTTGGGGAAGTTGTGGCTGCTTCAGCACTGCCAGGCTGCTGCTAGTTCAGGACCCACACCATATGGTCATGTGATTCTCATTTTCAATGTTTCCAGACAACTAACTAGCCATTTACACAATTCCACAACCCCTACCCAGAAGCAATCACATACAGTACCTGCCTGCTAGGAAGGGAAGGGACGGGACGGACGGACGGACGGACGGAAGGAAGGAAGGAAGGAAGGAAGGAAGGAAGGAAGGAGTATCTCTGAAACACTGACTCAATGGATCCTGGTTTGTCTTATTGGACAAAATAATTCTATGACAATATTTGAATGAATTAAGATAAAGTTTTTGAGAAGTAAAAGGAAGGAGTATAAAGTTGGTTTAGTTGATCAAGGTTAAAATAAGATGTTTTTATCAAATTCTAGCAACTCTTTACAGGCTTTTTGCTGATATCCGGATTAAAAAGTTGATACCTTATGGATTTGCTTACAGATAAGGGATGAGTTAAGGGAAGAAGAAATTTCTGTTGGAAAACTTATAGGGGGTAAAGAGCTATGAAAGTTTATTATACATGGTGGAGATTGAAAGTCATTTCTTTATATATTTGTTTTCTTTTTCCTTATTTCACTCTTTCCTTTTCTTACTTTTTCTTTGCACTTTTTATTCTCTCCCTTTCTGTGTCTGAGATTATCTTGTATTAGTTTTTATTACTACCCTGTTTTCCCCAAAATAAGACATCCCCTGATAATAAGCCCAATTGGGCTTTTGAGCGCATGGCAATAAGGCCAAGCGCTTATTTCAGGATTTAGAAAAATATAAGACAGGGCCTTATTTTCGGGGAAACACGGTATAATTTTTTCAGTAAAATTGTGTGGGTTTCTTTACTATACACATACACAGAAATATGTATATACAACTGCTGTCTATTACATGTTTTGCAAAAGTGGATAATAATTAGCTCATTTAGTCACATGTTTTTAAACATATGCATTTATTTTTATCATATACAAACTTAATAGTCATGTTACAGAAAACCACTTGGGTAATGTATCTCTTTCATAGCATGAGGAAAGGCAGTCTGATTGATGTACAGCCCTGCTTTCTTCCTCCTCAGCTTTCTGACTCATCAGCTTTATTTCACAAAATGTCTCTCAGTCATCTGAAAGATAGGTCTGGGCTGCTGAGAAAAGAAAGAAAGAAGCCAACTCTGGGAAATTTACAGTGACCCACTAAATCAGAAGCAATAAATAGACAATTTAGATCACAGGTTACCAGAATAGAAGAACAAAACAACAGAGTTGGAAGGAACCTTGGAAGTCTTCTAGTCCAAACCTCTGCTCAACCAGGAGATCCCGTACCATTTCAGACAAATGATTGTCCAGTCTCTTCTTGAAAAGCTCCAGTGATGGAGCACCCACAGATACTGGAGGCAAGTTGTTCCACTGATTAATTCTTCTGTCAGGAAATGTCTCCTTAGTTCTACGTTGGTTCAACTTTTTGATTAGTTTCCATCCATTGCTTCTTATTCTGCCTTCTGGTGCTTGGGAGAATAGGTTGATCCTTTCTTCTTTGTGGCAGCCCCTTAGATATTGGAACACTGCTACCATGTCACCCCTAGTCCTTCTTTTCATTAAACCAGACATACCCAATTCCTGCAACCATTCTTCATATGTTTTAGCCTCCAGTCCCCTACCAATGAGGTCATCTATGCAGGAATAGTAAGTTGACCAGAGGAGGAGGGTTTAAAAATAAATTTCAAGGAGGTTGAATGGTTGTACCTGATGTTTAACCTTAGTGAATTAAACCATAGTTTGCAGGTAGTTCTTGACTTATAACCATAATTGTGACCAGAAAATTTTCATTAAGTGGTACGGTCATTATGTGAAGGATCACATGATTGCACCTGATTCTACCTTTTTAGCCACAGTGGTTAAGCAACACGCTGCAATTTTTAAGCAAGACCTCACATGATCATGATTTGTGACATTCTTTGCTGGCTTCCCTATTGACTGCTTGTCGGAAACCAGCTAGGAAGGTCACAAATAGTGATCACATGATCCCGGGACACTGTAACACTCATAAATACATGCCAGTTGCCAAGTGCCTGAATAGCACTCAAGTACCGTAAGGCCACTGCACTGGACATAAGTGCAAGGGCCACCCAAAAGTCACTTTTTTCAGTGCCATTGTAGCTTAAAATGGTCACTAAATGAATGATCATAAGTCAAGGACTACCTGTAAGTTAATCACACCAGCTGGTTCATATAACATGCACAGGTAAAATGTAGACCAGTTTATAGATATCAGGGTTTGTAAAAATCAATCTCAGTCAAAATATTTGACTTTCTTTTACTAATCCATTTTATATCACAGAATCTATGTGAAAACAATTTAAAAAATCAGTTTACATATCAACATATTAAAAATGTAACATAACATTCCTTTAAAAAAAAACCTGTTCCATTTGCATATTAGAAAATAATGCCAAAGGACTCCAAAGAGTAATAATAATATTACGGTACTGATAATGTTTTTGCCTTATTTTAGGTCCAGCCTTAGGTCAAAACCATTTCAGTAAAAACAACAGACGTTTCCAGTGTCTTAAATGCACAGTACATTCATAGTAAAAACTCCCATCACCATTATCAAACATATGCTTCAGGATAAAACACACATACTCTCTGTTTTTTAAAAAAACAATCTTTTAAAATTTGCATTATCAAAAACCATATTTGCAGCATAGCAAATCTTTGAGACCCACTGTATTAAATCTTATTTACATATTTGGAAAAAAAACAACTCCCTTAAATCATAGGTCCTCAACATTTGGGGTCATTAGATATATTGTAATTTGGAAAGCACATGGTATGTATTCTGGTTGCCCTAAAGCAGGGGTCGGCAACTTTAAGCACTCAAAGAGCCATTTGGACCCGTTTCCCACAGAAAAGAAAACACCAGGTCCTAACCACAAAGGTCCTAACCGGAAGCTCCCCGTTCAATTCTAGAGCTGACCGGAAGTTCGGTTTCCCCACCATAGATTCTCCTCATAGTGTGGCATCCTTTTTCCTCTACCTGTCTTAACTGAAAGCCCTATCAATTGTGGAGCCGACTGGAAAACCCGCCCCTTGCCATAGAGTCTCCTCCTGGTGCGCCATGCTTCCCCCTTTGACCAGTGACAGGGAGCCACAACAGATGAAAGAGCCACATGTGGCTCCAGAGTCGCGGGTTGCTGACCCCTGCCCTAGAGGGCAAAATGGCTGTTCACCAGAGATGCCATTGGATACAATACAAAAATCAAATGGGTGAAGACTCTGAAAGGTACCAAAGAAATGGCGATACATATTGTGTTCTTAGCCAGCAACATATCCCTCACCACCACCTTCATTTATCTGTAGTCAACATGGCTCTCCTCAATCCATCAACCTCTACTCTAGAGGCTAAACATTTCATAGGAAACAGTCTCATTTAACTTCATGGGACTTCTAAACAGAATACCTAAGATTGCACCATGGTTAAGAATACAGCTGTAAGTGCTGGGTACTTTATTAATAAATCATTTTTCTCTCCCAAGGTTTTCTTTCTTTTAAAACTGAAATCTGTTTCTTTATCTGGTAATATTTAAGGTGCAAATACTCTAAAGGTGTATCTTCAACTTGCAATAAAATGCTGACTGGGACTGACAAAACTGGCTGAACTATAACTCCTTAGCAGAGATTGAGAAGATGGTTTGTTCTAACATCTTGAATTACTTTGAGATCAGAAGGAATACTTGAAATGGGTTTCTTGAAAGGTCATTCAGACCAATCCCCAAATCTCATTACAGCAAAATTGCACCAGATATTATTTTCATGTCATGCTTAATTGGTGCATTCCTATATGCCCAGATGGTTCTTTGTCATTTAATCTCCTCTACTGCTGCTCAGCTCCCTGCCTGGTTCCAAAACAGTCCAACTTTTAAAAGCACATATGCTCTCACCTTAAAACTTCCATACCACCATAGTAATTTTACTACACCCATCCAAACAAATTTAGAAGAAAACGGAGCAAACTTCCTTTTTTTAAATAAAAGTTTTCCGAAACTTTTCTTCATAATTTTGAATTATTAGTATGCATTGCAAGGACTGCCACGTTGCCTTTCTTTTTGTTTGTATGTTACATTCTTAAAAGTTGTTGTGGAGCCTCTGTAGAGGGGGTTTGTTCCCTAGAAAAGAAGAAAAACACTATATGTAATAGAATATTTCACCTCTGATTTTGTGGCTTAATTAAACAAACCTAATATATCAACTAACAGGGACGTGGTGGCTCAGTGGTTAAGATGCTGAGCTTGTCGATCGAAAGGTCAGCAGTTCAGCGGTTCAAATTCCTAGTGCTGGGTAATGGGGTGCGCTCCCGTTACTTGTCCCAGCTTCTGCCAGCCTAGCAGTTTGAAAGCATGTAAAAAATGCAAGTAGAAAAATAGGGACCACCTTTGGTGGGAAGGTAACACAGCGTTCAGTGCGCCTTTGGCAGTTAGTCATGCCAGCCACATGACCACGGAGACGTCTTCGGACAGCACTGGCTCTTCGGCTTTGAAACGGAGATGAGCACCGCCCCCTAGAGTCGGGAACAACTAGCACATATGTGCAAGGGGAACCCTTACCTTTATCTTTAACATATCAAATGATTTTTTGGGGAGGGGGTATGATTCATAATTTGCTGAATTTAAAATAATATTGATTTTAAAATTATTAAAACCAAACAGTAATATGGACATAGCTAGACTTTATCTATTCCTGTAATTCCTTCACAATAATTAAACAGCAAAATCTTAATCGGAGCCTCTTCAACAAAAAACTGTTCACAACGAAGAGCAAAATGGGTGCTGATCTTTCTTTTCACTCCCATTGTTGTTTGCACACCAGTGCCTGGGAAGCAAGAGGTATGGGGTGATGGGAATCAGCTACTCAGCATTATCAATAAAAACAAATAAAACCAACTGGTGCAGGCTTTCCTGTCCAGTATCTGTTGGGCAATGTTGAACCTCAGGGTTTAGTGTTTGTGGTGTAGGTCAGAGGTTCCCAGTCCACAGCTTGCCAGAAACCGGCTGTTGTGGTCCACCGGCGGCCTGCGGAGCTGGCAGCAGAGTCGGACCGTGAGGAGGCTGGGGAGGAACATGGGCCAGTCCTGGAGTCTGGGGAAGGCTCGGACGAGGGCTCTGTGTCAGAGGCAGAGATGGGGCCAGGGCCATCTGGGAGTTAGGTGCGAACTCCAGAGCCTCCAGAGTCGGACCTCAATGAGGCAGAGGAACAGGGGGAGCCTGTTCCCAGTGCATACATGCGCAGAGTTGCCAGAAGGCAACAACAGTTAAAAGGGATGACTTGGGAGTAGGGCTTGGAGATGATTGGCCCCTCCCATAAGACATAAAGGAGGAGCAAAGGCACATGAGCCTTTGCAGGAAGCAATGTTCTGCAACTCCATTTTGACTCTGTGCTCCGTGTGGCCTTGCAAAGCAAATTGCCAATTAGATCTTGGCAGCGTTTCAAGGGAGATAAAGGTGGGTGCTTATCAGCCTTATCCCGAAGGACTGTGGCAGACTTCTGTCGGATTCTTTACAACTATTTGTGACTCATCTGTGAATGAACAGAATGAGAATGAACAGAATTCACAGCCATTGAAATAAAAAGAGGGTATTTGGGATTAATTGTGTGCTTTTTACTGTCTCGGGAAGCCTAAGTCAGAACATCAGCCCTCATCTGCAGGATGCAGGCAGTACACAAAATCACACCCACTCCGGTCTGTGGAAAAACTTCTGTTCACGGAATTGGTCCCTGGTGACCAAAAGGTTGGGGGCCACTGGTCTAAGTAACAGATATCCTGAAATTCCATGAGGAACCAGCTCGGCCAGAAGTCAACTTACCTGGCTACAAAGGCAGAAGCCCAGTCCATGCCTGCTCAGTTGTCTGGGGTCTGCATAGTAAATCACCTTTGCCTCTGAAGATGCCAGCCAGAGTTGCTGGCAAAATGTCAGGAAATCTGTTGTCTAGACCACAGTCGCTAAACCCTGTAATCCAACCTGCCCCGAAGAACTGGAAACATAGGCTGCAGTTGGAGCAGCTGCCAGTGGAGCAGCACTTAAAAAGGAGGGAAAATGGCCTTGGGCTCCTGGGGGCCTGTTTAATCTAAGCTCTGTCTGCTGTGCAGCTGGAGACGTGGGAAATGTATTCTCGTGTATGGTTGGGGCCTTGGTTGGCAAAGACGACTTATACTAAACATTTACTAAAACAAATAACTTTTTGCAGGTACCGTTTATCCAAAATAAATGCTCATTTTATAGAAACGATCTATGTCAGGTTTAGGTTCCATTAATGTTACTGACTTTTGCCATGTACGTGGCACTTTTATCACAAGTGCAAGCCACCTTACATGGCTGTGAAGTGCGAGGTAGATATAATAGCAAAGCATTGAGGATTCAGTTTCTTGGGAATAATTTAAATGCATTCTTGCATCTCTCCAGCAGGAGGCATTATATTACCTAGGACTCTTAGACTTGGCAAAAAGATTGATTGAGTGTGGGAGATCAGGTTCTAGGTTTACAAAACCGTGCATGGCATAAAATGGACAGGGATGTTTTACATCCTTTGCCATAACAATAGCCAGTGATTACAGCCAGTGATTACAGCAGACAGGGAGGAGATTTAGAACAGACAAAAGGAAGTTCTTCTTTGCATAGTAGATAAGCAAACTTTAGATTTATTTTGGTACTAAACATGGTGATGGCTACTCTTCTGATTGACTGTAAAAGATTATAGAAATTCACGGAGGACAGGTCTTATCAATGGCTATTGGATACTAAGGGGTCTTCTGCGTGGCAACACTAAAGCTGCTACTCAGCATAGAACTGGGAGAAAATTGTGCTGGCTTAAAGAAGAGTGAACTGTGCTTGCAATCCCTGGTTACCCTTTGTTGGCCACAAAGCACAACAGAAGTTCTGCACACACAAAAATCCAGGGTTAAGAGAGAAGTGGGGCAGATCATTCTTCCTCTGATTCCAGTCCTGTTGCAATAAAGGAATCATTGCCCCCTCTTCCCTTCCCTTCTGTCTTCTACTTCAAACTTCCCAGCTGGATAAGTCCATTTCTAGGGGAAATGTCTGTCTGTCTGTCTTTCTTGCTCTCTTTTTCTTCCCTAGCGTTGGCATTAGGGTTAGGATTAAGGTTAGAGTTAGTGTTTCTTGAAGTCCACCTCAAAAATCAATGTTTTTTTTAAAAATTTGATTTATATGCCGCCCTTCTCCGGAGACTCAGGGCGGCTTACAATGCGTTAAGCAATAGCCTTCATACTTTTGTATATTTATACACAGTCAGCTTATTGCCCCCACCAAGTGGGTCCTCAATTTACCTACCTTAGAAAGGATGGAAGGCTGAGTCAACCTTGAGCCTGGTGCGATTCGAACTTACAGTAATTGCAGACAGCTGGTGTTAATCACAATGCTATCAGTCTGCTGAGCCACCAGGCCCCTGTTAAATTAGGGTTAGGCTGTCCCTGATGTGACAGCCAAAAGCCAACATTAAGCTTAAAGTCAGGATTAGGGTTGGCATTGACATTAGTGTTAGGAATAGAGTGAGGGTTAAGTTTAGGGTTAGCATTAGGTTTAGCATATTATTTATTTATTTTATTAGATTTTTATACCACCCTTCTCCCATTGGACTCAGGGTAGTGAACAGCCAAGAATAAAAACATCACATACAAAAATTTAAATTTTTGTATTTAAAATTTAATTTTTTTAAAAAAAGAATTAAAAAAAGAATTAAACAAATTTTGGCCCAATAAATTTAAAACACTCCAATTAAAATCAATTAACAATTAAAAATATCTAAGGGTGGTGGTGGTTAAGCCAGCCCGGCTTGATGAAATTAAAAAGTTTTAAGGGCACGGCGAAAAGCACGGAGATCTGGGATCCTACGTATCTCCGGGGGCAGGTCATTCTAGAGGATAGGTGCTGCCACAGAGAAGGCCCTCCCCCTGGGGGTCGCCAGCCGACATTGTCTGGCCGACGGCACTCTGAGAAGTCCCTCTCTGTCGGAGCGTACTGGCTGGTGGAGGGCTATCGGTGGCAGAAGGCGGTCCCGTAAGTACCCAGGCCCTAAGCCATGGAGCGCTTTAAAGATGGTAACCAACACCTTGAAGTGCACCCGGAAGACCACTGGGAGCCAGTGCAGCTCGCGCAGGAGGGGTGTCACATGGGAGCGCCCCATTGCTCCCATAATCCCCCGCGCGGCCACATTCTGTACCAGTTGGAGCCTCCGGGTGCTCCTCAAGGAGAGTCCCATGTAGAGAGAATTACAGTAGTCCAGGCGGGAGGTGACGAGTGCCTGAGTGACCGTGCGTAAGGAGTCCTGATCCAGAAAGGGACGCAACTGGCGAATCAGGCGGACCTGATAAAAAGCCCCCCTGGCCATGGCTGTCATATGCTCTTCTAAAGACAGCCGTGCGTCCAGGAGGACACCCAAGTTGCGAGCCCTCTCCGTGGGGGCCAGTAACTCGCTCCCAATAGCCAGCGATGGCACCAGCTGGCTATATCAGGACGCCAGAAGCCACAGCCACTTGGTCTTGGAAGGGTTGAGTCAGAGCCTGTTTCTCCCCATCCAGACCTGCACGGCCTCTAGGCACTGGGACATCACTTCAAGGGCATCATTGGGATGGCCTGGGGTGGAGATGTACAGCTGAGTATCATCAGCGTACTGATGGAACTCCACCCCAAAACCACGGATGATCTCACCCAGCGGCTTCACATAAATGTTGAACAGGAGGGGTGAGAGGACCGACCCCTGTGGCACCCCACAAACAAGGCGCCTCGGGGTCGACCTCTGCCCCCTTGCCAACACCTACTGCAACCGGTCAGAGAGATAGGAGGAGAACCACCGTAAAAAGGTTGCTCCCCACCCCCACCCCCTCCAACCGGCGCAGCATGATACCATGGTCGATGGTATCAAAAGCTGCTGAGAGGTCTAACATGACTAGGATAGAGGAACAACCCCTATCCCGAGCCCTCCAGAGATCATCCGCCAATGCGACCAATGCCGTTTCTGTGCTGTGCCCAGGCCTGAAGCCAGACTGGAGCGGATCTAGATAGACAGCTTCATCCAGGTACTGTGGAAGCTGTCGCGCCACCACACTCTCAACAACCTTCGCCACAAAGCGAAGGTTGGAGACTGGACGGTAGTTAGCCAAAACAGCCGGATCCAGAGAGGGCTTCTTGAGAAGGGGCCACACCACCGCCTCTTTCAAGGTGGAAGGCAAGACACCCTCACTCAAAGAAGCGTTAATAATCCCCTGGAGCCAGCCTCGCGTAACCTCCCGGGAGGCCAGCACCAACCAGGAGGGACACGGGTCCAATAAACATGTGGTCGCGTTCAGCCGTCCCAGAATCCTGTCCACATCCTCAGGAGCCACAGGGTCAAACTCTTCCCAAATAACATTCTCAAGACCTGCCTCCATCATCCCGCCTGAGCCTACCCAGTCAGAGACCAAGCTTTCCCGAATTTGAGCGATTTTATCGTGCAGTTACTGCACAAAATCCTCAGCCCAACCCTGTAAGGGATCCTCCCGCACTCCCAGATGGAGAAAGGAGCGGGTCACCCTAAACAGGGCAGCTGGGCGATTATCTGCAGATGCGATAAGGGCAGAAAAATAATTACATTTTGCTGCCTTTATTGCCACTAGGTAGGTCTTAATGTGAAACCTCACCAGTGTTCGGTGTCAAGTTTCGAGGTCGTCTCAAATAAATTGCATTTCAAACAAAGTCTTTGAAGAAAAACTCCTATGCAGGTTGAAGTGCTGACATCCGGTCAGATTTGGAACGGCTGGTCCTCCAACCGCTCTCCAGGTATCTTTTCTGGTGCTTCATCTCTCTCAGCTCCTCGGAAAACCAAGGAGCCAAGTAAACTTGGCGACGGGTCAGAGGCCGCAAAGGCACGACTTGGTCCAAAGTGTCAGCGGCCGCCCTGTCCCAGGCAGCCACCAGCTCTTCAGCCGAGCCCTGAGTCAGAGCCTCAGGAAATGGCCCAAGTTCTGTCTGGAACCTATCAGGATCCATCAGGCGCCTGGGGCGAAACCATCTAGTCTGTTCCGCCTCCCTGCAGTGGGGTGTGGTGGTTAGAAAGTCAAGCCTAAGAAGGGAATGATCTGACCATGACAAGTGCTCAATCGCTATATCCCCTATCTCAAGATCATTCATCCACTGGCCAGAGACAAAAATCAAGTCCAGAGTGTGTACTCCCATGTGAGTAGGGCCATGAATTAATTGGGTCAGGTCCATGGCCATCATGGAAGCCATGAACTCCCGGGCTGCCTCAGACGCTTCGCCGACAGATGGCAAGTTGAAGTCCCCCATGACCATAAGCCTGGGGGTCTCCATCGCCACCTCGGCAATCACGCTGAGCAGCTCGGGCAGGGCCGCCGACACATGGCAGGGAGCCAGGTACGTAATCAGCAAGCCCATCTGCGTCCCATGTCCCCACTTCACAAGGAGGGACTCACATCCGGCTATCTGAGGTACAGTGGCCTCCCTCGGAACAAGTCCTTCCTTTACAAGAACCGCCACTCCCCCTCCCCTCCCCTCCCCTGGGACCTCGGCTGATGGAATGCATAGAAACCCGGTGGGCACATCTCAACGAGGGGAACCCCCCCCTCCTGGCCCAACCAGGTCTCTGTAATACCCACCAGGTCCGCACCCCACTCCTGAACCAGATCACAAATGAGGGGGGCTTTATTTACCACGGACCTGGTGTTGCACAACATCAACCGAAGGCCCGGGGCCTGAGGGCCTGCACAACCCGGGGAACGAGAAGAGCATTGGAGGCCGGGACATGCCACCGCTCACAAACAGCGGGGGCACGCCCCCACAACAGGATACGGCCCCCTGCTCCCACCATATCTGCCCCTCCCACCCACAGTACTGATGGAAAAACCCTCATTGGTACAAACTCTAGCCCCCTGTTCGACCCCCAATCCCGCACCCTCTAAGCCGTGCATAGGCATCAGACTTAGTGTTGGCATTGATGTTAGGATTTGAATTAAGGTTAGGGTTTGGGTTAGAGGCAGGTTTTGTATTGGCGTTATAGTTTGGGTTGGCACTAGGGTAAAAGTTAGGGTTGGTATTAGGGCTAGGACTTCTATTGCTGTTAGGGTTACTGTTAGCGTTGGCATTGGCTTTAGGGTTAGAGTTGGCATTAGGGTTAAGGTTGTGGTTAGGATTAGGATTAGAGTGAGGGTAAGGGTTAGGGTTGGCATTAGGTTTAGGGTTGGGGTTAGCGTTAGGGTTAGGTTTTTATTTCCCTAATGTTACAGCCAAAAAGCAACATTAAAGTTAGGGTCAGGGTTAGTCTTCAGGTTAGCATTGGTCTTAAGGTTTTGATTACCGTGAGGTAAGTTGGGCTGAGTGAGAGAGTTATCTAGCCAGCTTTATGCCTAAATGGGACTATGACACACAGTCTCCTAGGCCAGTGGTTTTACCACTACACCAAACTGGCATTACTGTGGTTACAGTAGCAATTTTTATCTTGCTACTATTTACAATAATGTTATCCTGAATCGTGTTTTTTTTTTTAACTTACCGTTTGCCATTTGGCCTTCGACCTTTCTGCTTCAAATTTAGCCACTTCTTTACGGTCTTCAAATGAAATAAATAATTTCCACATGGAAAGTAAAACAATCCCAGTGACGACCACTGCAGTAGAAACCCCCAACATAATCATTGTAATATTTGGAGGCTGTGGATAATCTGTAGGGAAAAAGAGCAAAAATTGTGAAAATTGTTAAATAAATAAATAGCTATTAATATGGGAAAAAGGGAAGAAACTTGCAACATAGGTAAATGTTACTTTCATCTATAATTATCAGAATCCTGGAAATGTTGGAAGGAAAAATTTGGAAAGTTGATATGGACTTTTCAGTTTTGTATAGGTTTTGTTTAAAGATGGTTCAAATCCCAATGTGTTCTTTTGTACACACACAGCATTGGCATGTATGATAGCTGCCTCATTCATTTAGGTAGAGATGAGCTATATCAACAACCTCAGATATGCAGATGATACTACTCTAATGGCAGAAAGGGAAGAGGAACTAAAGAGCCTCTTGATGCTGGTGAAGGAGGAGAATGCAAAAGTTGGCTTGAAACTCAACATTAAGAAAACTAAGATCATGGCATCTGGCCCTCTCAATTCCTGGCAAATAGATGGGGAAGAAATGGAGGTAGTGACAGATTTTATTTTCCTGGGCTCCAAGATCACCGCAGATGGGGACTACAGCAGGGGTGAAATGCTCCCAGTTCGGACCGGATTGCCCGACCTGGAAGCGATGGCGGTGGGTGGTTCAGAGAACTGGTAGCAAAAATCCCTGCCCCCCCCATACCCAGCTGAGCCCCGCGATCATCAGAGGCTTTTTTTTTAATTTTAAAAGCATTTTTTTTGCTTTTAAAAGATAAAAAAGCCTCTGACAATCACAGCTGAGCAGCGTAATCGTCAGAGCCTTTTTTAACCTTTTAAAAGCATTTTTTTACAACCTATTTGCCCAAATAGGTTGTAAAAAAATGCTTTAAAAAAGTAAAAAAAAAAAAAGTTAGCCATGCCCACCCAGTCACATTACCCCCCCACCAAGCCATGCCCACAGAACTGGTAGTAACAAATTTTACATTTCACCACTGGACTACAGCCAAGAAATTAAAAGACGCTTGCTCCTGGGGAGGAAAGCTATGGCAAATCTAGACAGCATACTAAAAAGCAGAGACATCACCCTGCCAACAAAAGTGTGTATAATCAAGGCTATGGCCAGCTTGACATCACTTGTGTCGGGGCGCCTGTGGTGGCCCCAGTGCTCTGCCAGTGAAAACGGGCTCCCGAGCTCTGTTTTCGGTTGCCATTGCTTCCTGTAACCCTCTGCCAGTGAAAACGGAGCTTGGGAGGGCCGCGTGGAGCTCTCCCGAGTTCCATTTTACTGGCAGAAGCACCACGGTTTGGTCCTTTGCTGTTTCCAGGGCAGCACCGCGGGCCAGATCTAAGTACCTCACGGGCTGGATCCGGCCCCCAGGGCCTTGAGTCTGACACCTCTGGGATATATGTTAGGAGGGTTCATATACACCGACTTTCCTTAGCTTACCGAGACTAAATGTCTTCTTACCTTTTTGCTTTATGTTGTGAATGATGACTTTCCCCTGTTCATTAGCTGTCATCAGAAATGTGACAACAGATTCATTTTTCCCTTGTAACACACAACGAACCCATTTATCTTCCGTAATATCTGAGGATGAGGAAAAACCCATTTTACAGTTCAGAGAGAGACGTCTCAGGCAGTTATTACGAAGATCAAACAATTTCTAACATCCGGTTATTTTTAACAGGCACTAAGAAACAAAGCTGGAAATATACTAAAGGATTTACAAATAATTGTTCTACTGTTGGAGGGGGCGGTTTCCTTTTTTTTGTTGTTGTTGTTGTTGTTACTCTTTGCATTGATCAGATGAGAAGGTCCAGATATTGCCAATCTGTGTTGACCATCAAGTTGGTCAAGTATGGGAAATTTATTGAATTGGAAATGCTTCTAAGGAAGCTGCAAAAGCTATCAAGGGAATAGAGTACAGGTAGTCCCTGACTTACAGCAGTTCATTTAGTGACCGTTCAAAGTTACAACGGCACTGAAAAAAAGTGACTTATGACCATTTTTCACACTTATGACCATTGCAGCATCCCCATGGTCACATGACCAAAATACATACAGTTAGCAACCAACTTCTATTTATGCTGGTCGCAGTGTCCCTGGGTCTTGTGACCTTCTTCTGACAAGAAAGTCAATAGGTAAGCCAGATTCACTTAACAACCATGTTACTAGCAATAGCAATAGCTCTTAGACTTATATACTGCTTCACAGTGCTTTACAGCCCTCTCTAAGCAGTTTACAGAGTCAGCATATTGCCCCCAACAATCTGGGTCCTCATTTTATCCACCTCGGAAGGCTGAGTCAACCTTGAACCTGGTGAGATTTGAACTGCCAAATTGTAGGCAGCGGCAGGCAGTAGAAGTAGCCTGCAGTACTGCACTCTAACCACTGCACCACTGTGGCTCAACAACTGTAGTGATTCACTTAACAAATGTGTCAAGAGAGATTGTAAAATGGGGCAAAACTAACTTACGAAATGTCTCACTTAGCAACAGAAATTTTGGGCTCAATTGTGGTTGTAAATTGAGGACTACCTGTAATCTTCATTACAGTAAACATGTCCTCTTTATCTTTTTGCTACTAGTAGAATATCTAGATGATGTTTCAGTGTACAGGATATTCCCTCATAAAAATACTAATCCTTTTCAAGAGAAATGCCATTTATTGCTGACAGAATGCTGCTATTAAAAAAAAATTAACATCATGTACCTAATAACTAAAAAGAAATCATGACAGGAATAAAGAATGCACTTCAAGGCAACACAGATAAAAGCAATGTAAGGTATTCCCAGATTGGTAATCAATGCTTTCACCTAAATTTCCTCAGACACAGTGCTTTTGATGTTTATTCAAGCGGCTTAAAAAAGGTGGAATATGCATGAGGGAGCAGACAACATAAATAAGAACGGAATCTGCAAATGTAGACCCCTAGGCCAATACTACCAGAGATTCTCATGTCTCATCAATATAACTCAAAATAATAATAAAGTTTCTGTGAAATCTATAGCCATGTTAGAAAAAGGATTCTATGGGGAGCCATTCTAAATAAAGTGATTTGTAAGTTTCATGTTGCACCACAGCTTATCTGTATTTTTGTAATATATGGCATTGTTCTCATTGCCTACCTACATTATATATTTTTTCAGAATAAGTTTTCACTAAAGTTATCAACCATACAGACATTTTCTCAAAGTTTAAAATCAGCAGAATATGTTTTTGAAAAAGTGAATAGGAAATAGAATACCCTTAAAAAAAAAGAGTATTTACCTAAAGAAAGGGACTTTTTAAAAACTATTCTAAAGACACCCCCACCCCCGTTTTTCTGGAAGAATTATTTTCATTGCTTTAGCAATGTCACTTGATCTCTTCACACTAGTTTTTTTTTTGTTTATAAATTATGCTGATCCAGTTAAATAGTTGAGTATGATATCCTGTAATAGGTATATAACATGATATGCAGGTCATATAAACACTCACAAGATTATTTTACACCAAGCGGTTTTCTTTTCTCCAAATATTCTCAGGCTCTAAAAATAATATTTTTGTCACACCCGACATATTTAAACATTTGCATACCAGCACAACAGAATGTGTATATATTTTGGGTTGTTTCCATTTTTGAAAGTATGCTCTGCTGTGCTCTTAGCAATTTGTGGCAATCAGTTTCAAGTTGCAGTTGGTCTGGCAGCTGATTTGGATGTTGCACATTATTGTATTTGTCTGAATTAAAAGTGAGCTCATGTCTGCAAAGTGTGGATAGCAACTTTGATTGTCTTGCCTGCGACCAACCACTACAGTTACCTTTAGTATTCATTCTGATTACACATAACCTCATGTAGCAGATAAAATGTTCTCCTTTTTTCTCACTATTTAGAGAATTATATTTCTTGATTGGCAGATTAAGTCATATTTCTCTGGGAATCTCCATTGACATCACTGGTATAAGAACAACTGATGAATTTAGCTTGCATAATTTGAAACTCCCCTTAAATTGTGAGAGATCTCAAGAGAGTGGACAAACATCTAATTTGGAGGTATTATATTATACACCAGGGGTGTCAAACTCACAGCGTCATGGCGTCATCACGTGACATATTGGGACTTTTTTCCCCTTTGCTAAACTGGGCGTGGGCATGGCCAGCACATGATGCATCTGGCCCGCGGGCCGGGAGTTTGACAGCCCTGTTATATACAATGTAACAAAGATGTAGATTGTAAAACACATCTTTCTATATACAACTATTTCAGGTATCATGGAGCATCATTTTTAAGGAGGCTGTCACTAGATAACTTAAGCGATAGTGGAACACATCACTGGAATCTTTTTGTACACTATAAAACACAGTACTCTCAAGGATATTAAACAGTGTGTTTGGATTAAGATTTACTGAACGGCTGGCTGCTATGGCTGCTGGCACCAGACAAGACTACATTTTTTTAAAAAAGCATCTGTTGTGTGGATTGGAACCTTTCAATCCGTGTGGTCAGATAAATAGGGTGGCTTACCTCTTCCTATACAAGGCCTCAATGTCCATCTCTCCAGAGGGGAGGCTGATGTAGCTGAGGCTTCCCAGAAACTCAGCACAACATGGTTGGATTGGATCTTTTTTATTACACAATAAAGTGAAAGCAGCTGGCAGTCTCAGATTATTAAGGCTAATTTCTTAATATTTAATTCCTTCCCTGAATTAAAAATCTATATCCTCTTCTCATATTTCCCCTTGTGTAACAATGGCTCGCTAGTCAATGTCCCTCCCTGGTTTATCTCCTTTGCATTCCTATCTGGGAATCTCTTGCTAGAAATGTAACACTGATGCCAAAAATAACGTCTGAGACAACCTTTAGGTTTGCCGATCACGCGCAAAGCGCGTGTGTGAAGCGAACCGGTGGTAACACTGGTTAGAACCCACCACTGCTTTACTCCTTTAAATTCTTTTAAACAGATAAGCATTGATTTGTAAATTCTTTCAAATTGCTGTTGTCCTTTATTCTGATTTCATTCTGTGCATCTTTTAATTTGCATTATTTACTTCTTCTTACATTTGCAGTACTGGTTTTGACTTTCCCTTTGTGGGAGAGTTTCAACTGTTTAGGAGGTTTGGAAATATATTTCAATAAACTCAGCAAAAGAACAAATAATGAAAATTTGCTCTGTTCCTTTTTTTCTTTCTCACTAATACCCAGCTGAATTTTGGTCAATCTGGCACATTGAGAGGAAATATTTAATGTTTGAAATGTGGAAATAAAATCTGCCAGTAAAGACAGATTGAGAAGGGAGGAAGAGCAAGTAAGAGTAGATATAATAGCCCCGTTCCCATCTTTCATGTTGAAGTGAGTTTTCTGTGTACTTCTCCCTTTAGTAATAATCCATCTTTACAGCCAAGGATGTTCATAGCACAGAGATAGGGGGGAAAAACAGGACCAGACTGATTATTAGGAAGAGTAGGGCAACTATTCCATGCAAATGTATACTGAACACAGTTACTGATTCTTATTATTTTTTCAACTATTCAACTGTACTATGCAGTCCATCCTTGGATATATATTCCTACTCTGTTGTCTCAGGTGTGAAGAACACTATCTTATCTTATCAACATAGTTAATTAAAAAAAAACCCTCAGTTGTCAGTCTTGTGATCTTTTGTATGCAGACTGAAGAGAGGAGGCAGCATTGTAGCCATTACAGCTTCACTTTCATTGTGATAAACTGCAAATAAATCACAGAAGAACATCAACAGACAAGCAAATGCAACATCGAAGCCCTGAGCCTGAGTAGCTTTAGCTTAATGCTATTGAAAAATGTTCCACGAGGGACAATTGAAAATATACATTTAAACACATATCCTATGTGCGCACCACACACATACACACACACACACACACACACACACACACACTCACCTATCCCATGCAAGCAGCAAGAACTAGTAAACCGATTGCTACAACTAATAATAGCCAAGCAATAAATTAAAGTACAGACCTTCATCATGACTGATCATTGCGTCAACCAATTTACATTTTTCAGCGCAGTCTTCCTGATGCAGTAGATCAGCAGAAGCTAAATAACATTCCACACAGCTCCTGAGAAAGATGGTGCAATGATTTATCAATCTCCTTTGCATTAAGAATCAAAAGAGAATACATACACAGTCGCCATTTTTTACCTTATGAAAGACCTGCAGTAATGAATAAGTAATTCTCAGCATTTAGAATGTACTACACAGAAAAGGAAAGGAAAAAATAATTCTGGTGGTAATAATAACCCTTACTCCTTTTCTCTCTTTGGATGCTCACCAGATTAAAAAAAAAAAAGCTTGTAAGGGGAACCAGAATTATTTTGGTTATCTTTCCTCCTTACAATGATGAGCGAGTTTTATGGTTGTAAAAACTGGACACTGGAGGGGAGTAGAGATTCTAAGAAGAAGAAGAAAAATGCACGTCTTCCTTTGTGTTGATTAACTTGGATTTACCAAATGATATAAACCGTCATAACATTGGAAATGTCAAAGGAGATTGTTGAAGAATGGACCCACAATTTAGTAGCCACAGTGTCAAAAGTGTCAATAATGATATCTGATGCTATGGATAAATTATATCCAAAAGATGATAATGAAGGAGTGACAGATGTAGAGCTAATTTTATTTGACAAGATGGAGAAAGCATGGAAGGTGGACTTATAAATAACAGGCCAAGAAAACAATTTGGAAAGTAATGTTTTATTGGATATACAAAACAAATTGGCTGAAGTTTTGAAAATGAAAGCAAGAATACAAATGATAAACAAAGACGGTGACCTGGAAAATGTTTTCTTATTGGATCTAGAAAGAGGCTTATTAAATCCTTGAAGAAATCTGTGTGATCGGATAAAGAAGAATTGAAAAGAAATAAAATCCTACCACATATTTGGATGAACTAATGATTACGTAGGTTAAAAGGAAAAGGAAAAAATATAAAGTTGGTTTATTTGAAAAGGATAAAATAAGGCTTTCTCTGTTTGCAAAGTTTTGTCAATTCTTTACAGACATTTCACTGACATCAGGATTCAAAAATTGATGTTTTATGGATTTATTTTATAGATAAGAGATGGGATATGGGATGAAGAAATACTTGTTAATAACCTTACTGAGAATGAAGAGTTACTGAATTTGCCTATACTTGTAATTACGTCGCTTCTTTATATATTTCTTTTCTTTTTATCATATTTTTTCTTCCACTTTTCCCTCTCTCTTACTATTGTTTTTTTCCCCTTTAATTTAGTTTGTATTAGCTTTTAATACTGAAGTCTAAATCTTTAATAGAAAATTATATACCAGAACCTAGTCACGGCTGTGTCAGTACGTTATTGGTCAAGGAAGCATGCCAGACTGTTTTAAGATTCAATAGAAGAGGGAAAAGACTATTTTAAAAATTGAACAGTTTAAGATGATTTTAACCTTCTAACAGTATGAGCTGGGGATGAGAAGGCGGCAATTTCATGAGAACATGACACAAAAAACTCCAATAGCCATGGTACATTTGGCTTTGGTGCAGAGTAAAGAGGAAGCTTGATATCTTAGAAGTTAAAATTGATATATGATTTTTGAAAATGGATTGGTACACTACATGATTTTCAGATATATAAATCAGCTGAATTATTTGAGCAGTAATCGAAATCCCTGAATTGATCCAACACCCACACAGGGTAATCAGAAAGTTTAATTAATGAGCAAACTGGGGTTAGAGCCAAGCCTGAGCTTTCTGGTTGAAAAAAAAATGGTAAAAAGAACAGAAAGTGGGCCAAAGTTATTCTCCCACAGCCAGTCCCAGCAATGACTAACAGTAATATCAGCTGGAGGTCAAGGAGGACAGCACAAGCCTCTCACTTCCACAACATGTTTCACTTGTATACCACCCAGAGTCACTCTGTAAGGGAGATGGGAGGTTTCTAAATGTGATATATAAATAAATAAACTATCAGCAGCTGTACTAGCAAATGTGCCTCACAGTCCTGGCTGATTGTGACTTGCCTGGAAAACATCCTGATGTCTGGCATTGCCATTATTTTGCAAATCAAGCTACAACATTGTAGTAGCATTGGCTGGTGTTTAGCAATATGGTTAAGATGTAAAACGAGTAATTGGAATTCGTCTGTGGCTTTGATTTAACAACTGCATTTATTTATAAAACAGCTGCCAGGCAACTTCCTCTCGGCATGAACAGAAATAAATATCTGAAATTGTATCAGGAAATGTTCCCAGTGCTTCCGGATGTTTGAGGGGAAAAACAGCTTGGTTGTAGATGGGGAATGTAAAGTTCAGATAGGTTTAAAGAGGTCCAGTCTGATTTATTATTATTCTGATTTTGGCAAACTGGAAATACAGTACAAACTTTCCTGGAAATGTACACAGAGAATAAGAAAGCTAATGATGAATCTAGGAGGGCCCAGGTTCAGTTCCTCACACTTCATTGAGGAAAAAGATCAAGGGAAATCAGTAATAACAATTAGATTATGGATGTAACTAGGAATCAAATTGCTAACATAGAGAAAATGAAAATACTAACCCTTTTCCTAGTTCACAGCAACAACAAAATGAAGTTTTTAAAGAGCAACTAAAAAAAGCAAATACTGTAGGGCTGCTTAAAGAAGAAAATTAAAATATCCTATACTGATGTCATTGATGTCTTCATCATAAAAGGCCTCTGGTGACATGGAAGAAAACAACTGAATGAGCCTTTCTGAAGGCTGCTTTGGGCAACAGACTACAGCAGATTGGCCCATACCCAGTGGTGGGATTCAAGTAATTTAGCAACCGGTTCTCTGCCCTAATGATTTCTTCCAACAACTACTTTGCCAAACTGCTCAGAACTGGTTCTTCCAAAGTGGTATGAACTGGCTGAATCCCACCACTGCCCATACCCCATTCATTTCACTGCCCCTTGTCTCTCAGAGTAGTGGCTTCTAATTGGGTCTCTAAGCTTTGGACTTCTTGTGCAGCCATTTGTCACCCCAACATACTTTGAAGGGTCCTCAGAATTAAGTGGCTGGGCACCTGCCTATTGCTGGAGAAAGAGCAAGTAAAGAAGATCTGCCCTCAAGCGTCAAGTCTTCTTGGGTTGCATTTGTTTCTTTTTAGAAAGTATGCAAAAGGAGAGGAAGCCAATCCCAGTATGAGAAAAAAATAAAACACCCTGTTCTCCAGCCATATTTTCCAGGCTGAGAATTATACATGATTAGCATGTCAAAGCCGAAGTTCAAAGAGTGGAAGATTAAAAACGACAGTTTAGTAGCAATATTTGGGAGGTCTCTAGAATTTGCTGTATAACCAAGGCTTTGATAGGTGTATATGGGCCTGGGGAGGTAGGTTGTACCCCTTACTGCTTTATACCACTTCTCATTTTCTGACACAATACTCATGCATTGTTAGACATTTACACTACTTATAACCAACGTTACTGGAATTTCTCACATTATAGATTACAGTATCCTTTCAGGGTCAAATTACCCTAATTGATGAAGAAAACAATTAAAATGAACCTCAGCATAAAAAGATGTAAATACAAATAAATATATTAAATGTATAGATACGAGAGTATCTAGAATAATGAAAGGAATACAAAATGTATTAGGATTTAATGGAATAGAGAATACACGATTACCAATATAAACAAGTATTCAGTTCCTCTGGAAACCTATTGTACATTCAGATATGTGAAAAAATAGACTTTTCTAACCATACACAAAGAAATAGCTTACCATTTAGAGTTGCAAGGATCATCATATGTAGGGTATTTTTCACAGATGTTGCCTGAAACTCCAGGATTTGTGCATACACATTTTCCACACACACATTTTCCTCTCCCACTGCAGATGATGCCATCATTAGAAATACAACTTTCGGTATCCGTGGTACAGTTACAGTATTCACCTATCCAGCCATGGTGGCAAATGCATTGACCACAGGCACAATTCCCATTGCCTAAGAAAAAATATGGAAATCAACCCTACTTCAAATGCCTTTCCTTCCTAATTCTTGAAAATTGCCAGCAATCCTTTGTAGAATATTGTGTCAAGACATTATTATATATAATTGGAAAGAAACCTTCCAACTAAGGACCATATTAAAGTTCTTTGTTAAGACTACATAAAATCATGAAGTAGGGAGCCAACTGTTGAGTTTCAAATCCTATTTATTGGTAGATAGCAAGACAGACATCTCATGAGGTAGGGAGGTAGGTAAGTAGGTAAATAGAAATAGATGATAGACAGACAGACAGATAGATAGAAGATACCGTGTGTATATATATATATATATATATATAGATAGATAGATAGATAGATAGATAGATAGATAGATAGATAGATAGATAGATAGATAGATCTCCTAAGATAGTTAGTCACAGAATGAAAATAAAAGGGAACTGTTTATTCTACACACAGAGAACTTACCATGTTTCATTGCCTCACTGAAATAGCCTTTTACAATCTTTTGCCTTCCAAATATCATTGGCTATTTAAGCAATTCTAACAGTATAGAGTGAATTATATTTCAGCCTATCTACCAACCTTTGGTACATCTGGTGCTAGCTAAGATCTTTTCCACAGCTTACAGACCAATTCATATGACTGCTTATTCAGAGTAATGAAATTCAACACTCCAACCATCAGAGAACTATAGATCTTCCAAAAGAAATCTGCACAAATGCTTTTGCTTCTTGTGGAGTAGTTATGTAACATTACCAGCAAAGTGCCACAAGAGTAATGTGTTTGGAGCTACTATGAGAAAAGAGGACATTAAGGTTCAATCCTTAATCCTCAATTCAGCCAACATATCTAAATATATTTTGCAAATTCCTTAGCAATGCACAAATTCATTTAATATTTTCTTCCCAATGACCTTTTATCCATCCTTTATTTCCTCCCTTTGGAAAAGATTTGAATACAGTGTTCAATCACTGTAATGATGTCATATTCCTATCAATTCCGAAGAAATATGTTTGTATTATTATTTTGTCGTAATGTGAGCTCCTATATCTGTTTATCCAGAAATAAGTTCTGCTAGTTTCTATGCAGTATATTTCCAGATAGATGAAGGGAGACTAAATTTAGAAAAGCTTCCTTAGGAATATAAATGAAACAATACTTCATGGTTTCCAATAGGAAAAAAAAAACATTAACATATTGTATATTAGAAGGTTTAGATCTTTGACTGCTATACCTTATGCACAATAAAACAAGAACTCTTGATCCACCTGGACATGTTTAAAAGCAAAATGAAGAAGTACATTACTTGAGTTTTTAAAAATAGTATTATAATTCAAAAGAAATTCAATGAGAAATTTCATAGTGGCCCTTCCACAAATACATACACATATTAACACAATGATTTAATTAATCTTTATTTAGTGGACTTTATGATAGAAGAGCCCAGGTTTCCATCTGTGCATGGAAATCCCCAAATGACCAATTGGGTTACACTTACATCAAATTAGGTTAATTGTGTAGCAATGTACAGTATATAAATTGGTGTGAATGATGTATTTTCTGATCATCAGGCTTTTCAGAAACATGAACTCCCATTCTCTGAAAGAATCCATTAAATCAAGCCTTCCTCAGCATGTCCACAGGCATTTATACATGATATACACAATTGCATAAGATTGTGTGTACCTGTATTGCATAATATAGGTAGTCCTCGACTTACAGCAGTTCATTTAGTGACTGTTTGAAGTTACAACAGCACTGGAAAATGTGATTTATGACTGTTTTTCCCATGACCCTTGCAGCATCCCCATGGTCACGTGATCAAAATTCAGACTCTTGGCAACTGACTCACATTTAGGACGGTTACAGGGCCCCAGGATCATGTGAATAACTTTTGTGACTTTCTGACAAGTAAAATCAATGGGGAAACAAGATTCACTAACAACCATATTACTAATTTAACAACTGCAGTGGATTCCCTTAAGTATTTTGGCCAGAAATATCGTAAAATGGGACAAAGTTCACTTAACAACCATCTCGCTTAGCAACAGAAATTTCAGGCTCAATTGCAGTGGTAAGTTGAGGACTATTTGTATATACACACTTTCAATACTTTACTGTATTCTTATTATGTAGTTAGAAGGAAAGTACAATTTAGAGCAGACTTACCTCCACAGACCAGCCCTCTAAATCTGCCACAAGAGAAATCATCGCATTCACAGTATGGCCCATATATATTTCCATATGCTGAAAGGTGGCAAATGCATTGTCCACAATAGCAGTCGCCTCTTCCGCTGCACAAGATCTGTTCTGGGAAACGTTTGCAGGACTCTGTACTCAGTGCATCTTTTTCGCTGCATTTACAGTCTGGACCCATGTAGCCAGGGTTACACACACATACCCCACACTCGAAAGAACCATTCCCGTAGTTGCACTTGGAGTTATTCACCTCCGCTTCCTTCTGACAATGACAGCTGCATTCGGGCTGGATCTCGATCTCCAACGCTTCGTTTAGACCGGTGGCCCTGATTAGGACTTTCCTTCTCCCTTCACCACAAGCCAAAGGGCTTAAACTTAAAGTCACATTGAAAGTGACCTAAATAAAACAGAGAGGAAAAACTATCCATGGGAATGACACTCTTCATCATTTTTGCATGCAAAGTAAAGATTTAAACGAAAACTAACTTGGAAATATTAACTATATCAGTTTGTGAAATATAGGGTAGTCATGTTTGACGTACTGTTTTATAGCATAAAATCTCAGAGCTGAGAAGTTAAAAGCTCTGGAAGTAGGCAACTCTTCCCGTATTGCTGCCAATAAAATAAGATAGATGCATCTCCAGGAGTTGAGATCAACTCGGGGACCTATTTATCTTCATTGGAATCTTTCTGGATAAAGATTGAAGTATAAGTGTTTTAAAAAAATGGACACAAACCACAGGTTTCCCTGGAATCATCTGACCCAGGAGACTTGTGCATATGATGAAGTGAGTCCATGAAAATTTATGCCTTTTAATAAAATTTGTTGGTTGTAAACAAATAGTTCTACCAGAGTCCTGAATTTAGGTGACCTTATGTAGGAAAACTGAATTCCTGATTTGCTTCAATGAAACTTCAAGTAAAGCAGTCCATAGAGCAAAGCTACAAGCCAACCAACTCCCCATCCCATTTCCAAGCAATGGGGAATTTCCATTTTACTCAATGGGAAATTACATAATCTACTTACCTGTTCTCCGACTTTAATATGAGAGCATTTCTTCTGGTGTTGAATGGCAGAGCCATGGCTGCAGATGGCAGTGAAATCAAGTTTTAATCCATCTGTATCTCCCAACACCTCCAACTCTATCTCAGACCTGAGTGACTTAAAAACACCATGTTATTGGAAAAGGAATGCCTTATAATTGTATAACCGATAAGATCCTTCCTGGATTGGCTCTGCCAGATCTTCTCTAAGAAAGAAAGTTCAAAGTTGCTGGCAGTCAGGCAGCATATAAATGTTGTTGTTATTGTTATTATTATTGTTGTTGTTGTTAAATATGGAGCAGCAGATGCTTATGGGAGACAAGGTCTTTTCAGAGGTGGCACCCTAGAAGAAGCACATAGTTTGGAATTGAACAACAATCAATTTTAAAGCATCTCCGGGTATTTTATCAGCGTTCAACTATTTTTGGATTCAGTGACTTTTAAGCCATATTTTATTTTTATTTTCTGTTTTATTTTCTTTCAAATAGTTTTATTTATAGTGAGGAGTTGCCATTGTTATACCTTCTGATAAAATATATACATATGAACAATGAAAATGGAAGTATTCTCCAATATGCATCCTAAAATGTTGTATAAACCTCCGAAAAAGTGCCAATACTTATAACGATCTTCTTGGTATCCGCCAGATGTGTTGGATTACAATTTCTATTATCCACAACCTGCATTACCATTTGGAAGGCAAGAGACTGAGACTGAGACTGCTTAGGGATGAGAAAGTGGATGGTTTCACAAACTGTATTAAGCCTAAATATGGCTTATTTGGCAAAGGACCATGTGAGAACATATTGTTTTTGTAAATCATAGTTTTATGGGTACTTTGTGTGAATCTCACCAATTCTGATTTATTCAACAAAGCAGGAGTAGAATGCATCGGCATTCTTTTGAACATTAACTGCTTAGTAAAAAGGAAATGTTGGAATAGCAGTCTTGCTTTTTTTAATAACTTGATTTTCTGCCAGTCTGGATTTTATATAGGGTAAACTTTGAATACTTCGAAGACATCAAACATTTGATTAGTGTTCTTTACAGTTTTTCACTTCTCAAGGCATGTACTCATATGCTTGCTAAAATCTATGACTCAGATTGGAAGGGAGAAGACCGTACAACAAATATTTTGACAATTCAGACTTCCCTCTTGTGCTTATTTTCTGTGGAATATTGAAAAGTCAACACATCTGTGAATAATAACCTCTTGAATTTCTGCCACAATTTTAAAATGCTTCTATCATTGGAGCAATTTTAAAATGGAAACCCCTAATCACTTACGGAACTTTAAGTGAATTCTCTTTTTGAGTGCAAAGGACAATTGTGATTGCATTTTTAGAAAATGAGGCACAAAATTACTGTTACATTGGTGGGGGAGTGTCACAATATTTTTAAATAGCTTTAAAATATGAAACGTGGTGAAGTAGATGGGAATTACTTAGTCCATTAAGAATGGACGGCTGCCTGATGTATTAACAATGATTTGCCAACTCGGTTGTGGCTTCATGAATCATTCCCTTTCTTCCCTTTCACATAATGATGGAGAACTCTGTCTAAATGATAAGTTTTGCTATCAATAGCCATAGAATTGGCCTATAAAAATTAACAGATTAACAGAGTTGGAAGGGACCTTGTAGGTCATCTAGTCCAGGGGTCACCAACCTTTCAGACTTCAGGGACCACTAAATTCATAATTTTAAATCCTGCGGACCACTAATATAATTTTTTAAAAAAGATAAATAGTATTTAGTGCAATATAAAAATTGCAAATAATTTTTCTGCGGACCATCAAAATTTTCTCATGGACCACCAGTGGTCCGTAAACCACCAGTTGGTGACCGCTGATCTAATCTAACCCCCCCCCACCCGAGCAGGAGACCCTACACCATTTCTGACAGATGGCAGTCCAGTCTCTTCTTGAAAGCTTCCAGTGATGAAGCTCCCACAACTTCTGAAGGCAACTTCTGTTCCACTGGTTGATTGTTCTCACTGTCAGAAAATTTCTCCTATTTCCAGGTTGAATCTCTCCTTGATCAGTTTCCATTCATTATTCCTTGTCTGGCCTTCAGGTGCTTTGGAAAATAGATTGGCCCCCTCCTCTCCGTAGCATCCTGTTCTGTCCCCGTGTCACACACACACACAAACAGATATCCAGGGGTTAAAAAAAACTGGCAGACAACAAATTCTTTCGATAAGAGGATTGGCAGCAACCCAGTAGCTGCTTGCCAAGAACTTTATCCATAAAGGGAGGGGTTGTTCCTCTGACAGATTAAGCCAAACAAGATACACACAGTTCAAGAATTGTCAAGTCCAGTCCGTATTAATTCCAAGGCAGATATCGTTGTTGCAAAGATACAATGTGACTCGCTAGTAGTTAGTTTTGTCCATCACAGAGTCTGAATGGCCACCTCACCCCCTTATATCCCCTGTGGGGTGTGGTCCACTGACTCAGCTTAATCTCTGGCACACCTCCTTTTCTGCTGCGTGCACTTGTCTCTCTGTCGCTGGCGTGGATCCAGCCAAGATTTATCTCCGTCACTGTCCGACTGTGAGGAGATACCTGGCTCCTGGCCAATCTCTCCTCCCTCGGGAGACACCTGAGGCATTGCCAGAGAGGAGGGTCCTGGAGAGGGAGGCCTGGCCAACTCCTCTCCTTCATGTTCGGAGCCTTCTCCCTCCGATAAGTCGGCCTCGGAGGTCGGAGTCACAACACATCCCCTCAAATATTGGAACACTGCTATCATGTCTCCCCTGGTCCTTCTCTTCACTAGCCTAGCCTAAATAAATAAATAAATAAATAAATAGACTAAATAAATAAATTCATGTAATTGAATTTGGCTCAGGTCAGCTCTGTAAGAGTAAGAGTCAACCTTTGCTCTGTATAGTCTGTTCTATTACTTAATACTAGAGATGTAAAATGTATCACTTTGGATTGAACGTTTTGAGAAAGTTGAGATTCTATTTTCTTCCAGATCATACTGATCTGTTTGTTCTAGGGATGGTCCAACAGTTTTTTGGAAATAAATCTTCTAAAATGTAAAGTAGTTGATAGTGTTTCAGGGCCAGACCACATCCAAACCACTAGCTCAAAAAAAAAAAAAAAAAAAAAGTTCAACAAACTGCCAGACCACCCTCAGTTCAGTATATCCGAAAGAAAAACAGAAAATTCAGCCAGTCTCTAAAATTTGACATTTTTGCACACCCGTATTTAACAGCTCATACCATCAGGAAATCCTTCCTAATATTCAGCCTGGATCTGTTTTCTTCTGCTTTCAACTGATTGGTCTAAAACATATTTTTAAAAAGACTAGGCTGAAGCAGTCATAAGAGAACTGTATAATATAGAAATAGCATTAGAAACTTTTTGCTGGGTAAATAAACTTTATGAGTGGAGCCTCTGGCTAAAATCATATATTATGCTGAGAAAGGACTCTCTTTTTTTTCAACCATGATCCCCGCAACAAGCCATACTGATTTATGCTTGTAATCTATATTTTACAGTTTTTATGACTTTGTCTGAGTTTTTTATTTGCTAATGAAACATTGGACACAACCAATATTTCAGAGAGAGAAGAATGCTATGTCCAAATTAATTTATTTACATCAAATTACAAAATATGAAATTTTATTTAGAGTATTATTTTATTTATTTAATTTATATGCCACCCATTTCCCCCCGATAAGGCAACTCTTATTAATTTTACATACCTTATATGCATCTATAATCAACTGGAGGACATTTCCAGAATCATGCTGTAGTGTTCCAACAGTAGCTCCAGGAATAAGATCCGCATATTGCTGCAAAATAGAATTATAAACTTCCCTCAGGGAAAAAAAAATCAAATATATAGATAGATTATAAAAAAATTAATATGTATCAATAAATGAGGGGACCAACTCTGATATTTTTACCAGATACATATTGTTCTGCCCCAGCTATGGACCCCAAAGAACACAGCACACACAAAGTCTGTACCAAACTTAAATTTACTAAAATAACTCAGTCTTTTCCTAACAAAGGCTGTTAATAAACTTTCTTAACAGCCTACAAGAAACCAAAGATAAAGTAATCACAATCTTACTATGGTTGGCAGAAAGCCCAGAAGCAATTTGCAGAGAATCCAGACGTGAAGGAGAGTGAACTAAAGTTGTTCCCTACAATTTGCTTCAGTCGGTGTTCCTCCTTAAATAGGCTAAGGTAGTGGCCAATTAGCCCCAAGCCTTACTCTTGAGGAGACCTTCTCCTGAGGAGCCACTCCTGCCTTTTGGCAGCTCTGTGCGCCCATGCATCGAGAAGAGGCTCCTCCTCTTCGTCCTCTTCACTTAAAGGAGCTTCTGGAGGTTCTGAAGGCCCTGGCTGAATCCCTGCCTCTGGCACCACATCTTCTCCAGCCTCCTCATTGTCTGACTCGAGTGCCAGCTGCACAGGCTGCTGGAGCAGCACCACACCAGCCTCCTCGTTGTCAGAATCAGCTACAATCCACACAGGCCACTGACGGGCCACAACACTTATTTACTTCCAAAGTTAAAATAAAATTTAAAATATTAAAATATTTAAAGTTAAAAGTTAAAATAAAATAAAATTTAAAAAGAAGGAAATAAGAGTAGATAACAACAAAAAGAAGTGTATAAAACGGAATGTCAAACATGCATATAAAATCTCTCCCCTGGTTGAATACCAGGAAACAATCAATATCAATATAAATTGTAAGGATACAAGCAACAAAGTTACAGTTATATAGTCATAAGGTGGAAGGAGATGGGTGATGGAAACGATGAGAAGATTAATAGTAATGCAGACTTAGTAAATAGTTTGACAGTGTTGAGGGAATTATTTGTTTAGCAGAGTGATGGCATTCGGGGAAAAACTGTACTTGTGTCTAGTTGTTCTGGTGTGCAGTGCTCTATAGCATCGTTTTGAGGGTAGGAGTTGAAACAGTTTATGTCCAGGATGTGAGGGGTCTGTAAATATTTTCACAGCCCTCTTTTTGACTCGTGTAGTATACAGGTCCTCAGTGGAAGGCAGGTTGGTAGCAATTGTTTTTTCTGCAGTTCTAATTATCCTCTGAAGTCTGTGTCTGTCTTGTTGGGTTGCAGAACCAAACCAGACAGATGACAGACTCAATAATTCCTCTGTAGAACTGTATCAGCAGCTCCTTGGGCAGTTTGAGCTTTCTGAGTTGGCGCAGAAAGAACATTCTTTGTTGTGATTTTTTGATGACGTTTTTGATGTTAGCTGTCCATTTTAGATCTTGTGATATAGTAGAACCTAGAAATTTGAAGGTCTCTACTGTTGATACTGTGTTGTCTAGTATTATTATTCCCCTCCTTGCAAAGCAAGTTCACAATTTATAACTTTCTACCTCTATATTTGCAAAATTACTATATAACAACAAAAAATATCACAAATATAGAAATAGAAATCTATTATCAATCAACTGATTTGATTTATCATCTATCTACTATATAAAAAAGCTATTAAGAGATAATCCCAAGAACAAAGGTAAACTTCGAAGCCCTCTGTTAACTATCTATTATTGTATTTAACTCACAGAAAATACACTAGCAGCTTCTAATCTCCCATAAACCTACTACAATCATTGTCTCTGATCCATCCAGAATCAAATACCGTAGGCTGATTCTTAACGGTAAAAAAAAATCCTTCCAGTTTATCATCTTTACTTTCTTTAAAATTATAAGTGGGACCTTTCTAAACAACTGCTTCTTATTTCTCATAATTTCTCCATTGAAAATATCCCCATAATACTTGTTGCTCAGTTAATTTTCCTACAAATTGGCAGTTGTCTTCTGCTTGCATGTAGTAGCTTTATTCCACAAACTCTATCAGCTTCCTTTTCTTTCAAATCTGTTAACAGCGAATTAATTTCCAGTCCACTGACTGCATAGCTAATTTAACTACTGTTGCTTGTATCTGGATATCTTCTTTAGGATGATCTGAAACTGTGGCAAATTCATGAAACCTTTTATCAAATTTTTCATTTAAAGTTTGTAATCAGGAAAACTTTTTTTTCCAAAATTTTCCAAAAAAGGCTTTAATGTGAAATCATCTAATTTTCATCTTCCTTTTATGTCTCTTTTTGGAAATATTGTAGAATCTATATAATATGTAATATTCAAAATCCTTAATTTATTGTTACTTTGATTTTAATATAGTCCAGATCTCTCTTATAGTCAAGCTTTTACAACAGGATGTAAACAGTTCCTTTCCCAGAACAAAGGAAGTAAATATTCCATAACAAAGTAACCAAAGAAGAAACTGGGATAAGAATTCCCACAGCAGAGAATAAATGAAAAAGAAAAAATTCCCAACTTTTAAAAATTAAAATTAAAAAAACAAGGATTTATGCAAAAATAAAATGAAGCAATGGAGTTCTTTTTAAAAAAACACATAAAGTACAAAATCTTTAAAGCAAGAATCTGGTGTAAATCAAATCAAGTCATTTTCACTGCAAAGAAGAAAGGCCTCATAAAGCCAACTTCCTTGTGGTGAAAGAAAGTATTCCAAAGTTTACAGAAGAAAATTCACAGTTGTAAACCAGCAAGAGAGTATCAGCATTCAACCAGGCTATTAACAATTACATTTCAAAGCTTCAAAAAGTGATACTAAAGACAGAGGCGCACCTAAAAATACAAACAGTGACAGGAAAAGATGGAGACCCAACCCTCTGGCTGATCTTACTAAGAACTGCAAACCTCCCAGGCAAGTACACAATTGTCTGAAGGTCATTGTAGGTTGTTCCTAGTTGCTGTCATTCAAATCTGGGGACCCTACTGCCAAAGAACTGGCTTTGACAGCAAAGTCAACTGTTTGTCAACAGGAAGAAAAAAGTGCTCTGCTGCTCAGTGCACCATTTTCTGGCGATCTCTAGGCACTTGTATTTCAAATTGTTCAAGCACTCCATAAGGCAATGTTGACCTTTGCTGTGAGTATTGTAAGATGCCCAGAGTCACTCTGAATAGTGAAAGAGTACATATACATTTTATAAATAAATAAATTCATAATTCTAAGAAATGAGGGAGGGAGGAGGGAGGGAGGGAGGGAGAAAGGAAGGAAGGAAGGAAGGAAGGAAGGAAGGAAGGAAGGAAGGAAGGAAGGTTGGTTGGTTGGTTTCCAATGTTCATTGCCAGCTTCCCAAGAAAACTCAATGGGGAAGCCGACAAGAACCTGGAAGCCACTCCCACTCCCACTAACTTTTTGCCTACCTGCGATCATTCTGTTTCACTTTTTTTTAGGTAAGAAAACATCTTAGATGACCCAATGGATCATGGGCTGTCTAGTATTCTTTTAAAAGTACAAAATTAAGGAGCACTAGATAACTGTATGATACATCCCGTTAGCTATATTAAATGTACATTAGGAGCCATGTTTGAGTGAGTCTTATTCAGTGCCTTGAAATTGGAGAGATTTAACTAAGGCTGTAAGATTATATCCACATTTCTTGGAATTTCACTGAACTCAACTGGAATTCCTTCCATACAGATGTAGATAGGAAGGTACTATAAGCCACACATGGCATTGTTAATGAGGTAAATGTGGTTTGACAGTTTTCTCTGTAAAGCTTTCAGGCCATGATTGAACACTAAGGGAAATTCAGTCCATTCAAGAAATAACAGGCTGAGGGTGGGTGGGTGGAGAATGGATGGACACGTTCTTAGATAAGGACTTTCTGGCTTTCTCTGTATATCATTTAATCTTAAAATAGTCACCATTCACTGATCACAAAATCACATTTTCTTTGGAATTCTACACCCTTTTCTATCTCTTTTGTACCTCCTCTATTATGTGAACAGTTTCATATTGCATTATTTTTATCATCATGCCAAAGTTCCCAGGTGTTGTTTTTTTTTTGTTTCCCAAGAACATTAAATCAGGTTTTGTCATGTTCAAAACTCCCATTTTTATTGTTTTCTTTGGATAGCTTGTTTGTTTCCCTTTTTAAAATGAAATCCCTGCTGTTTTTGTGTTTCTGCTATATCACTTTCCTTTCTACCATTGAGGGTGGAATTAGATTTAGTACCTGTATGTGTGCTAAATTTATCCTACTTCAATGAGATTAGGATTCTGAATCTAATAACATTCTGATTAGAATGTTGAATATTTTTTTTGGTTACCATCCATCCCTTTCATCTTAATATTTATTTATTCGACTTAGAAGGCCGCTCAACTCTTTAAGTCTCTCTGTGTTGTATACCATTAAGAAAGTAGGAAGAACTTTGGCTGAAATACACAGTTCTTGTGCTAATGCTGCCTCTGCTTCTCCAGCTCCCCATTGCCTGTGGCTCTGACTAGTGATGGGATTCAGCCAGTTTGGGCTGGTTTAGGAGAACCGGTAGTTAAATTGCTGACTGGCCCCGCCCCTCCCTGCCCCGCCCCTTCCAAGAATTCCCACTCGCCCCATTTTGGCTCCCAGGTAAGTGCAGGGGTGTGTCCCACCCCACCCCATTTTTGCTCCTGGGGGGTGCAGGAAGCTGAGTGCTGTCTGTCACAACCCCTGGCAATGCCCACCATGGCCATGCCCACCCAGTCGGTCATTAGGGCAGAGAACCAGTTGTTAAATTATTTGAATCCCACCACTGGCTCTGACCTACTCCTGTTTTCAAGTCAGTTGAGAACAAGTCAGTTGAGAACAAAGCTGTGATACAATGCCTTATGAGCCAATCAACTGTTCTGCAGCTAGCTAGCACAGCATAGTGGCAGCAATGGAACTGGCAGAGCTGCTTTTAAACCATTTGCCAGCACATTACTGACTTCAGGAGTTCAGGAGTGTGCAGGGACTGTATCAGTCTAATGTACGCTCCTCAGTGTAAAAAAAAAAAGCCCGCCAAATTTTTCAATGGATACCAGAAGACAGACACTAACTAAATGATGTACTACTGGAGCCAAATATGGTGTCATAACCAAGCACCCACACCAAGGGCCATTGCAGAAACCTCCACAGTGTCCAAACTGACTGGGTCTCTAGCTGAAATGGAAATAATGTTGTGCCGAGATGAACCAGCCTTGGCGTTGGCTCCTCAATCTTGATATCCACCAGGATAGTAGCCTTCACCGCAACTCAACAGGGGCAGGGCTACGGCCAGTGCTGCCAAATCTTTTGTAGTTTCCAAGGGTTCAGTTCAGCCCCAGTAATTCTTGAACTTCAGGCAACAAACAGTATGGCCCAACTTCAAATAATCTCAGTCCCTTCACCCCAAAGCATTTTTCAAACACCATCTTAAATGGCCAATCTAAGAAGAATGTGAAAAGATTTGAGGATCTTACCTGATATAAATGAACTTGTTTCTTGGTGACTGCAAAAATTAATAGAATGTTGTTTTGCACAATCTTCTCTATCAATTGTCCTAAAGTTGGGTATTCCTGAGAAAATAAAAATGGAAAATCGATCTTTATATCAACTTTAAATTCAAAAATAACTTACTGGTACATGGTAAGCACCTGGACAGTGCCAGATGAAAGGTTCACATATTGGGTGCAGACAGGGCACAGTAGGTTAATCAAAGCATAGATCCTCCATAATACCTTCTTTCACCTTGCTAGAAGAAAGATATTAGGAATTAAACAAAGGCTACCCTTCCTTTATGGAAAATGTAAGTTCATGTTTAAGAAAAGCAGTATCTAATCCTTTTGGAAAAACACTGAGATTTCTATTAAGGAAGACATCAATCTCAAAGCTTTCTACAGGTTCTTATTAGGGAGTTTTAATGTCTGGACTCCTGGGAACAAGTCCTCTTGATAGTAGCCCAATCCTCTATAGCAGGGGTGTCCAACTAGTATGGCTGGCTGGGGAATTCTCGGAGGTGAAATCCTCAAGTCTTAAAGTTCCCAAGTCTGGACACTCCTGCTCTACAGCCAGCATCTACAGATAAGGATGACCTTCATTCCTATCAGGGTTCTGGAAAGCAATGAAGAATTGGATTTTTGTGGATGGGAATGTAGGAATTGAATAGAATCCTGATTATTGCTTTTGAGTAAATGGCACCTTGTGGTGGGATAAGGCTGAACAAATTGCTGATTATTTGGTGATGTTTTTGTCTTGTTACATATTGTGTCTTTTACCTTCATACAGTTTGGAATTAAAAGGCTTTGATGGGAGTGATATGGAAGCTTAACAAATAAATAAATACAGCTGTGTAGATAGAAAGGCAGGGAACAATACCTTATTTGGAGTTCATCTGCATCAGACAAACAAAATTATGAAGCCCAGGGGATAGAATTGAGGAAAGGCTGCATTCAGCACTTTCACACTTTCACAAATTTGGGGTGCTCATTGAAAAAGATTGTGTGAAGAAAAGTTCCTCCATCACACTTGGATAAGCATCCACACTGGAGCAAGAAATGACTTATGTTGAGGGGTCTTCAACAAATAATAAAATGAGTTTTTATAAAAACATTCTTTAAAACCCTGAGAAAATCATTGAGAAGCGGACCTTCTATGCAAATGAATATGTATTGAAGGATTATAAAAATAGAGCAAGAAGTACAGTATAGGACATCCCCAAGTTTAAGAATGCATGATACAAGAATGGAGTTAGAAGCCATCTCAATTTGATACAACAAGATGATGCTTTTTAAACTAGATTTGGAATGCCTCTTATTTGGAAAATTAATGTCTCTGTAGTGGTAAAAGACTTTATTGCTTTCCATTCTCCTGAAGACAGGAGATATCCCTAACCCTGCATGAAGTACAGTTCTGTGGTAAAAGGGTAATTTTATTCTAATTCATCTGAAAATGGCCTTGTACAAATTATATTTTCTCTGTGTCGAGATCCCATCGACACTGTGATCCGCAGCGGCACATATGAATCCTGGGCTGACAGCAAACAACTTCGAAGAACATTACGGGGGGCGAATGGGGGGTTGTTAGTTACTCACAAGCACTTGGTGGCGGGGGTGTTTCCTTCCTTTAGGCGGTCGGTCACGCAGCGGCCGGCTTAGGGCGGATCCTGTTCAGACGCCTTGCGGGCGCCGGGCCGGCAGTAAGGACACTGCGCGCATGCGCCATTAGCGTTATACCCGGAAGGGCGTATAGCCGATAAGCGCGAGTATTTAAAAGGCGTGGGGAGGCAGCCGCTCCCAACGCCGACTTTATGCTTATTCGCAATTGTACCACTCGTTGTTGCCTGAGCCGTCCGAACAGATTAAACTGCTGAAGCACCCACTGCTGTCCGTGGCATTTTTCGTCCTGTTCGTCCGCAGCTTGCAGTAACAAGTTGACACTCTGTTCATTTTAGAATACTTTAAAAGGCTGAGGTGGTGCTGTTAGAGTGCAGTACTGCAGGCTACTTCTGCTGTCTGCTGATTTCCAGCAGTTTGGCAGTTCAAGTCCCACAGGCTCAAGGTTGACTCAGCCTTCCATCCTTCCGAGATGGGTAAAATGAGGACCCAGATTGTTGGGGGCAATATGCTGGCTCTGTAAACCGTTTAGAGAGGGCTGTAAAAGCACTATGAAGCGGTATATAAGTCTAAGTGCTATTGCTATAATGCATGGAGTTATACAAATGCAATTTCTAACATGATTAAATGTACAAGACTAGAGAATGGGAAAGGATTGAATAAAATAAAATAAAAAGCAATTACCAAAACAGTTGACATGGAATATTCATTCTGTTGATCCAAGTGGCATTTTCCATCATTTGGAATAACTATTCCTGCTAATTTACTATCCATCCCAAAATGAGAATCAGCATCACTCACAAACACTAACAGATGTAATGAATCATTTCTCCAGCCAATTTTTTCCTGTAGTAAAACATTAATAAGTGATGACAGGGAAGATGGGATAAAGCAATATATGCAATATTTTGGTATCACATGCAGAAATATGAAATATGATTTATCTTGTTCTGATGATTAAAAACATGCCAAGCTCTAATCTATAAAAGGATGAAAATTAGTATTCGAAAGAACTATCAGAGACAAATCATAAGATTTTGCTGCCTGAGGTGAAGTAGTAAATACCACACCTCAGTGAAACTTGTACAGCAATTAAGCTCAACCATATTATCTGAGTACTTGAGGTAAAGTATAATAAGTTATATACATAATTAGCAATTCAGAATATTATTTATTGGCTTTAAAAGGCTGCACAACTCTATAAGACTCTGGGTGGCATACAGCTTTTAGAGAAAAAGTAAAAATACAATCCACGTAATCTGCAAAAGGTAATTCTTTAAACAGATGAAATCCTACAGTTTAACACCCACTCTAACCCAAGAGTTGGGGGAACAGCCAGGTTTTTAAACTTTTTTTGAACATCATGAAGTACTTTCATATGGGATGTTCTGATCTAAAGTAAAGCTAGCAATAACAGTCTTCATTTACTCCAAATCAACATGAAACACAGATATAGTTTCTTTACCTTACAAACAGTTGCCTGCATAATTGCATCAAATCCTCCTTCTGGAGTATCTAAATTTGCACTGATTTTCTGTTTTTTCACAATTTCATTGAATCTTTCTGCATCGTTTGTCAACGACAGAACATGCTTGTATCCAAATGTTGGCAAACAATCAAATGGGACATTTCTGTAAAGTAAAATGCTTATGTGCTTATAAATGACGATGGAGGTCACATTAAAAAGCTTTAGGGTTGAGGGGCATTTGGTATGGCCAAATGTAGTATTCAGCAGTATGATCTTCAGATGGATTATAGTATACAGTATATCTGTGATGGCGAACCTATGGTATGCGTGCCGGAAGTGGCACACAGGGCCATTTCTCCGGGCACACAAGCCATCGCCCATTGCTCTTGTGGGTTCTGGCATGCCAGCCAGCTGGTCTTCACGCACACAGGAGTGCTGAAAACTGGAAGAGCAGTTGCCCGGTGTGCATGTGCTAGCTGGGCGGCTGCTCTTCCAGTTTCCAGCATGAGCATGTGCACCAGCCCCCTGGCCTTCTGGTTTCTGGCACACATGCATGTGTGAAGACCAGCTGATATTAGATAACCGTTTGTCTGAAGTGGTGTAGGGTTTCCTGCCTAAGCAGGGGGTTGGATTAGGAGACCTCCAAGGTCCCTTCCAACTCTATTATTCTGTTATTCCTTGTCAGATCAGAAAGTGGACTGTAGTTTCCTGTTTATTGAGATCAGTGGGATCCAGTGGGAACCAGAATAATTCTACAGCTGTAGCTTTGTATTCCTATTGTAGCTTTGAGTATGTTGAGGAATTCAATAAACCTTGTTAGTTCATAGACTCTGGAATGCCCCGTCAATATGTTCCACCGGAATTTCTCAGTGCCTCATGGAGTAGCTTGGTGCTGCATCTGATAAGTTTTCAGTTGCCCTTTCAAGGAGCACAGCATCCTTAGCTTAATTGCCAGAAATCTAGATAATCACCATCCCTACCCTTCCATAAATGAATAGCTTCTGGACAAACTGAAATAAATAATTATTATCCAGACCAGATTCTCTGGAATCTAGGCTAGAGACCATCCTAAGCGGAAAGTACTTGAATGATTAAAGCGGGACTGGAGACCCCATAAGGCCAATGTATCTGATCCATCAAAGCTTTCTGCAATCTTGAAGTTTTGGAAAGGATAATGAAAGGTGGGTCTAGAGTGTTGCCTTGAAGAGGGTTGATTTAGTATGCATTTTTTGTGTGCATAAGTTTGGGGTGGGGTGGGAATGGGATGGTTCTGGTTCCATGAAAGGGCTACTGGAGGTGACTTCTCACTTTCAGCAGTCCCTGACCTGTCTCCTGGGGTGGGGGGTGGGAAATCCCCTATTCCTGTATGAAAACAATGAATTCATCAAACTGCATTTAAGGAGAAACATCTCACTTAAATTCAAACCATATTTCTAAAGAGTCAGAAGAAATGTTTAAACTTTTCTACCAACCGGCAAGGATTCTTCAGATCTTCCGTCAGAGTATTGATGAATGGTAAAACTGGTTTTTCAACAAAAGACCCGAAGCCCATCTGAAAGTTACTTGTGAGTTTAGACATTTCTTTGGACAAAGTAGACCCCAGTTCCTTTATGGTTTTCAGATCATCATCCATAGAAGCTGAAAGGTCCATGAGGTAGTAGAGATCAACTGGATAATCTTCAGTCTGACGAACATTGATCTGTATCGTTTCTTCATTTCCTTGTGGAGCCAAAGGGAAAACAGAAAACTAATCAAACCACTGTGGTTAAAAGGGGAAAGAGGAAGTACAAGTATTGACTGGGCCGCTTTATTCTCCATGCTGCATGGTGTTATTCTGTGACAAAGAATATCTTAGCAGTAGCATTAACTCTTTTAATAATTAATTGTCTGATATGGATAGTGAAAAACATCTGCAAAGTATAATTGCACAATATGCTTTATGGACAGACTACTACAAGAAACAACAAATTAAAAGTTGGAATGACTAGCTTGATAAAAAAAATAAAACACCTGTCTTCCCCATCCCATTGGCCAGGAAGACTTCCTTGCTGTAGAAAACTTCCTTACTGTAAACTTTCTTACTGTAGAGTCCCCACGCGGCCCATTTTGGATGCAGGTAAGTGCAGGGCATGTGCGGAGGCTCGGGGAGGGTGATAAATGGGCCTACCGGAAGTTCGGGAAAGCCGGAAATGGGCCCGTTTCTGGCCTCCAGAGGACGTCTGGAGCCTGGGGAGGCTGTTTTCACCCTCCTGGAGACTTGAGAAAAGCCTCCAGAGCCTGGGGAGGGCAAAAATGCCTGCCCCCATGGTGCAGGTGGAAGACTAGGCCACGCCCATCACGGCCACGCCCACCCAGCAACCGGGCAGAGAACCCCTTGCTAAAAAATTTTAAGCCCACCCCTGACTGTATTTGATCTAATACTTTATGTTATTGGCAAAGTCCAATGCTACTAACTACTGTCACACAATAATCTTTGTGGCATTTCTTATCTGTCATGCACATCTTCAGGGGAACACCTGAGTGACAGAAGTGTACACATGTGATTCATTAATACTACATTAAATACAATAGATGTGTATATATTTAATGTTAAACTAGTTAAATATTATCTTGGTACTCCCTAAATTCAAATACTAACATAAATCCTATTGAAAACTATTTTCTGGTCATTTCTAGTCCCCCCACCTTGGGCATAAAGCTAGCTGGGTGACCTTGGGTCAGTCATTCTTTCTCAGCCTTAGAAATATATCATCTATTCCTTCCTTCCTTCCTTCCTTCCTTCCTTCCTTCCTTCCTTCCTTCCCTCCCTCCCTCCCTCCCTCCCTCCCTCCCTCCCTCTTTCTTTCCTTCCTTCCTTCCTTCCTTCCTTCCTTCCTTCCTTCCTTCCTTCCTTCCTTCCTTTCCTTCCTTCCTTCCTTCCTTCCTATCATCTGCCTATCTCCCTCATATCTGGATATTATGATGCTTAACAACCATTCACATTTATGAAGGTCACAGAATGAGTGCTTTACCGCCGTCATAAATAGTTGTGCCACTCCCCTCCCCCCCCCATGGTTCACAAGTCAACATGTTGGGTATTAGGCAGCATGGGCAATTATGTGTCTTCCATGGAGTGCATATATTATACCTCTGCTTCATGAGCTGTATTGGTTAACAGTTTCCTTGTGAGTCCAATTCAAGGTGCACTTTTTAAAACAACAACAACAATAATTTAATGAGATTGAGTAATGTTAGCAAAGTACGAGAACATCACTTATTGAGAAATTATTTGAAAGGCAGAGAGTCTCTTTTGGAGAAAAAGCATTAGTAAATTGTTTCTGCTTTCACCAATTACTATTTCCCCTGCTACAAATCTGTATATTTCTCAAATCTATTCATCAAATGTGCTGCAATCATAGCTAAACAAATAACCTATCGGGACTGAAGTAGCATTATAATATGTTCAGATGATAGATATTTGCTTGTAAGTTATGATGGATTCTATTGTTCTGTGCCATATTAATATTGCAGTAGGAAAAAAGGAAATTGCTAAAGCTATTGTGAACAAAATATTAACTTTACAGAAATGGTTCGGTGTCTCATACAGCCTCAGGTGTCACTTGATTAAAAAAAAATCCCCAGGTGTTTACTCAGAAATAGATTTCCTAAATTGAACAAAGCTTACTCTCTAGTAAATAAATTCAGATATCTCCTTTCAAATCCTTACTGTATTTTTTGTACCCAAATTGTGCATTGACTTTATTGCCATGGCTTTTTCTAAATTCTTACAATTCATCAAGATTGAGGCAGTTCACAAATAAATAAATAAATAGATAAATAACCAGACTATTTAAAAAAGTTTTATAGATATGATGATGATGTAACTTACCTGGTCTCAGGAAAATAGTTATCTTTTGAGGAGAAATCTGAGTAACTTTTGAACCATTTATTTGTGGCCCATCACTCAGGGGCTTGTTTTCATGGATCTCTACTTTGGAAATGGGAAATTCAATTAAATTCAGATGGCATCCTTCTGAAATAAGCTTTTCAAGAGTGTCACACCTTTTATGAATTTCAGATGGATCAGTAAAATTCTACAAAGGAGTGGAAGAACAAAAAACAAACCGAGTAAAATACAAAATAGTTTAAATTAAATGATGGCTCTTATTATAAAGGGTATACAATAATGCTTTTCCATGAGATGCATCACGTTAGATGAGTATGTACTTGAGAGCATGGGACAATGTGAAGGTGGATCATGTTGAAATTATCTTAATTTATAAATTGGTATATAGGTAGTCCTCAATTTATGAGCACAATTGAGCCCAATTGTTGCTAAGCGAGACATTTGTTAAATGAGTTTTTCCCCATTTTATGACCTTTCTTGCCACAGTTGTTAAGCGAATCACTGAAGTTTTTTGGTTCGTAACACAGTTGCTCAGTAAATCTGGATTCCCCATTGATTTAACTTGCAAAAGGGGATCACATGACTGCAGGACACTGTAACCATCATAAGTATGAATCAGTTGCCAAGCATCTGAATTTTGATCGCGTGCCATCGTAAGTGTAAAAAAAAGGTTACAAGTCACTTTCTTCAGTGCTGTTGTAACTTTGAACAGTCACTAAACGAACCGTTGTAAGTCGAGAACCACATGTAGTTCTAAGTGGCCTTTATTAATCATGTAAATGTGTGAGAACAAAGAAATAATTCTTGCAACGTGCATACAATGATATTTCATCATTGTATTTTGGGACTTTCTTTGGGTTTCCTCCAGGGGTGAAATGCTCCTGATTCGGACTGGATTTCCCGATCCGGTAGTGATGGCGGCGGGTGGTTCGGACAACCAGTAGCAAAAATCCCTGTGCCCCCCCCCCCGCCCAGCTGAGCTGCTCCATCATCAGAGGCTTTTTTTTTTTTACTTTTAAAAGCATTTTTTCTACAACCTCTTCTGACGAAAAAATGCTTTTAAAAGTAAAAAAAAAAAGCCTCTGATGATCGGGCGGCTCAGCTGGTATCTCAGAGGCTTTTCAAAGTATTGTTTTCTGCAACTTCTTGGCCGAAGAGGTGGTAAAAAAAATGCTTTGAAAAGTCTCTGACAATCCCAGCTGAGTTGCCTGATCGGCAGAGGCTTTTCAAAGCATTAGAAAAAATGCTTTGAAAAGTTAAAAAAAAAAAAGTTGGCCACGCCCACCCAGTCACGCCCACAGAACTGGTAGTAACAAATTTTACATTTCACCCCTGGTTTCCTCCCCTCTGTAGATGTAATGGGATGTGGGAATGACCTTGGAGGACCCAGGGAAGCCAGGGCAATGGTAGGATAAGAGTCTGCAAAAGAGGTCTGTGCATAGCAAGCATCCTAGTTTTTGGACTGTAAAGGTGAAGGAGTAGAAACGTAATTTCTGACTTGCCAAATTCTCTTAATGGAACCTTACAATAAAGTAGAATTAGTTTTAAAAAAAAGAAAAAAAGGGGAGGGGTTTATGGATTGGATGTTTAGAAAGGGTAGATTGTGGAAAAAAGAAAATTATGAAGTAACACACACACACACACAGAAAGAATAAAATAGAAATGTACCTATCACTGCTGTTAAGAAGATTGGAAGCCACCTCTTAATGACTTTTTCATTTTTTTTTTCATATTCTTTATTTTCTATTTTTTTTAACCTGCCAATTGCTTGTTTAATCTGAATGGGCTGGGACTAGGGAGGAAACATTCCAGGTCCACCTATTTTCTTTGTTAAGTAGAGTTTGTCAACATCACTGTGTGGATGAAGGGCATGATTATTATTAGACCCTGTCTGGTTTTGTACATGTTTTCTTGTACAAGCAAAAAATCGTAGTGTTCTGGAAGAACACTAAACCCACATCCAAAAGTAGTCCAACTATAAGCTCACATCAATTGATAATCAGATTCCTTTTAAAAGCATATACACATCATGATAACACTAACCTTGAAGTTTTATTTGTGTGTCCTTTTGGGGAAGGATGAAGGTTATTCTTCCCCCCTCCCTTCACCAATATTTTCCTACTAGGGCTGACATCCAAATATGAGTTTTCTTGGAAGTAAGCTGTTTTAAGATCCATGGAGGACAGGTTTCAGCGGTAGAAACGTGCCTCAGGCTACACAATCACAACACGGGCAGGCAAAATGTTTTTCCTATGCAAACCATACAAGCCTTTGCATGCCTTTAGGAATGAACTAAAACCAAGGATACAAACACTACGCAAACTTCAGTGAAGTGATTTTTAATGCTACCCTGGGAAGGTTATCCATGGAGTTGCTAACAGTTAACACCAACTTGATGGCATATAATCAACGTTTTAATGATAATGATAGTCTAGGGAGATACAGAATCTTGAAAACTTGAAGAGGAATTTCCCAACCTCATTTATTTTGAGGTAATTAAGAAAGAGTCTCTCAGAATGATAAGCTATCATCTGACTTGCCTGCAGTTTCTTGTTTGTTTTGTCACCTCTCTGTTCCATTCCTTTCTCAGCCTCCCCACAATCTCTCATGCTGAGTGTGTTTCTTCCTTAATCCCCAGGTGCCTCTGTGGATGCCAAGGTCTCTGGCTACTCCTATTAAAACGGGAGGCAACCAAAGCAGACAGAGTATGCCTGCAGCCCCTTCAAATGCCCTCTCCATTCCTGTCAAGGAACCATTACAGATCATTCACACAAATCTGTGTTTGAAGAAGAGGGGAAATCGCCACTTCCAAACTGGAATGGCTACATTGGAACATATATTATCTGCACAGTGGCTTGAGGAAGAGACAAAGTCAATGCCAGGAGGACATGTAATGTCCTTTAAAAGTGATTAATGAGCCATATTTAAGCTGCAGTTAGCAAAGTGTGAGGAAAAGCCCTAAGAAAATACCTTTAATCTCACAGGGGTTCCAGTCCCACTTTAGGCACAAAGCCAGCTGGGTAACCTTGGGCCAGTCATTCTCTCTCAGCTCTAGATAAGGGGCAAGGGCAGGGGTGAAATGCTCCCGGTTCAGACCGGATCGCCTGATCTGGTAGCGAGGGCAGCGGGTGGTTCGGAGAACGGGTAGCAAAAATCCCTGCCCCCTCCCCATGCCCATCTGAGCCGCGCAATCATCAGAGGTTTTTTTTTTTACTTTTAAAACCATTTTTTCCACAACCTCTTCGGCTGAAAAAATGCTTTTAAAAATAATTTTAAAAAAGCCTCTGATGATCGTGTGGCTCAGCTGGGATCGTCAGAGGCTTTTAAAAGCATTTTTTTCTACAACCTCTTCGGCTGAAGCCGTTGTAGAAAAAATGTTTTTAAAAGAAAAAAAAAGCCTCTGACGATCAGGCAACTCAGCTGGGATTGTCAGAGGCTTTTAAAAGCATTTTTTTTACAACCTCTTGGGCAGAAGAGGTTGTAGAAAAAATGCTTTTAAAAGGCTGTGATGATCCCAGCTGAGTTGCCTGATCGTCAGAGGCTGTTAAAAGCATTTTTTAAATAAACTCTTCGGCCTTTTTACTTTTTACTTTTAAAAATGGTTTTAAAAGTAAAAAAAAAAAAAGTTGGCCACTCCCACTCAATCACATCACCATCACCACCACCAAGCCACGCCCAGTAACAAATTTTACATTTCACAACTGGGGCAAGGGCAAATGATTTCTGAAAACCTTGCAAAGAAAAATTCAAGGATTTGTCCATGAATTAACATTGACTCAAAGGCGCGCGCGCGCACACACACACACACACACACACACACACACACACACACAATTCTTAGGATTCTTTCTTGAACAGGGGAACTGCAGTACTATCCCATGCTTACTTACATTTATAGCATTAAGGGCTGTCTTGGCTATGGATCAGAAGAAGAAGAAAAGTTGCTCCACTGAGAAGGCATAGTGTATAAATATTTGAATAGAATATAAATATACCTTTACCAAGCTTACTTTCTCAACAACCCAATTTCTTTTAAGTCAAGATTGCCGTTGCTCCTATTCATGCTAAAAGCAAAAAAAGGGCCTGGTGGCTCAGCAGACTGATAGCATTGTGATTAACACCAGCTGTCTGCAATTACTGTAAGTTCGAATCTCCCCAGGCTCAAGGTTGACTCAGCCTTCCATCCTTTCTAAGGTAGGTAAATGAGGACCCAGTTTGTGGGGGCAATAAGCTGACTTTGTTATAAAATATACAAAAGTATGAAGGCTATTGCTTAACGCATTGTAAGCCGCCCTGAGTCTCCGGAGAAGGGCGGCATATAAATTAAATTAAAAAAAAAAGTTTCTGAATTTATTCAAAATGGAAGTTGGTTTTTAGTTTTAGAAATCAGACTTTCAAAAAGGCATCAGACCAAATTGCCTACTGTTGGACTTCAAGGGAAGAAACGGAGAAGTGTGGATAGGTCTACTAAAAGCACAGCCCAAGACAACAGTGGAATTAAGAGCCAGCAAGTACAGTAGCTCTTCATAATTCCTCTCTGGACAAGGAGATGACTTGAGATCACCTACAATTCAGTAGTGGATTTCAAAAATTTTTACTACTGGTTCTGTGGGTATGGCTTGGTGGGCGTGGCATGGCATGGCTTGGTGGGCATGGCAGGGGAAGGATACTGTAAAATCTCCATTCCCACCCCAATCCAGGGGAAGGTTACTGCAAAATCTCCCACTTCCTCCAGATCAGCTGGGACTTGGGAGGCAGAGAATAGATGGGGACAGGGCCAGTCAGAATTTTTACTACCGGTTCTCTGAACTACTCAAAATTTCTGCTACCGGTTCTCCAGAACTGGTCAGAACCTGATGAAACCCACCTCTGCTACAATTGCTCCGAACAATTGCTCCTTGCAAAGTCATTGCAAGATAGCAGTCTCTGGCAGGCTTAGAGTTCTGAGAGAATGAGAGAATAGCCATATTTTTGCTGAAACCACGGTCAGCACCTTCAAAAGAACATTTGGTTCACATATTTCCTTTTCACTTATGGAAATAGCAACAGCATTTAGGCTTATGTACAGGTAGTCCTCAACTTATGGCTATAATTGAGCCCAAGATTTATGTCGCTAAGTTAACAAAGAAATTTGTTAAGTGAGTTTTGCCCCGTTTTACAACTTTTCTTGCCACAGTTAGTAAGTGAACCATTGCAATTGTTAAGTCAATAACCCGGTTGTTAAGTGAATCTGGCTTCCCCATTGACTTTGCTTGTCAGAAGGTCACAAAAGGGGATCACAGGACCCCAGGACACTGCAACCGTCACAAATACGAACCAGTTACCAAGCATCCGAATTTTGATCACATGACCATGGGGATGCTGCAACGGTTATAAGCGTGGAAAACGATTATAAATCACCTTTTTCAGTGCTGTTGTAACTTCGAACAATCACTAAATGAACTGTTGTAAGTCAAGGACTTCCTGTACTGCCCGATAGTGCTTTACAGCACTCTCTGGGTGGTTTAAAATGAAGAAGCATTATTTGCATATTGCTCTCAACAATCTGGGTCCTCATTTTACCAACCTCGTAAGGATGGAAGGGTGAGTCAACCTTGAACTGATCAGAATCGAACTCCAGGCTATGGGCAGAGTTTGCCTGCACTACTGCATTTTAATCACTAAAGAATCAAGAAGAAGCTTCTTCAGCTCTGATAGGATGGTGGGGTATGGAAGGATTTATATTCCTTGCAGACAGCTGGTCATTTGCATCCTTTTAGAGGGTCGTTGAAGCACTTGGAGGTTTATCTGTGTCCTCAGGGTCACCTGAGTAATGCTGCTGGTTCCTGTAACCCCACTATCCTGTCAGAGCTGAAGAAGCTTCTTGGATGAGAAATGAAACATCTTTAAGCAAGTCCAGTTGCCTCCTGAAAAAGCACCTTTGGGACAAACCATGACCTGGATGACTGAGAATCTCTACAGACTTCATGGAAAAAGATGTTACTCTGGAATCTGGACATACAAAAGAAACCAACTGATGTCTTAATAATTAAAAGGATAAACAAGCAACAAACCAAGAGAGTGACCTGGATAATTTTCCTACATGGGTTGTACAAAAGAAGCTTGTTAAAATTTTGAAGAATTTTGTAAGAAGGAACAAAGAAAAAAAAAAGGAAGAAAAGAAATCAAGTTCTAAGCCATTATTTGAAAGAACATTAGATCAGGGGTGAAATGCTCCCGGTTCGGACCGGCTCGGGCAAGTAGGTAGCAATGGTGGCGGGCAGTTCGGAGAACCTGTAGCAAAAATCCCTGCCCCCGCCCCCCATGCCCAGCTGAGCCGCGCGATCATCAGAGGCTTTTTTTCTTTTAAATGCCTCTGACGAGCCAAGTTCTGACGATCCAAGCTCTGACAATCCCAGTTGAGTTGCCTGATTAGCAGAGGGTTTTTTAAAAACCCTCTGACGATCAGGCAACTCAGCTGGGATCGTCAGAGCCTTTTGAAAGCACTTTTTAACATGGTTTTACATGTAAAAAATGGTTTTAAAAGTAAAAAAAAAACTGGCCACGCCTACCCAGTCACATTATCCCCCCACCACCAAGCCACGCCCACAGAACCGGTAGTAACAAATTTTAGATTTCACCACTGCATTAGATCAATAGATTATTAAAAGGAAAAGGAAGGAATATAAATTTGGTTTATTTTGATCAAGGTCAAAATAGATAGGTTGTTATCTCTGATACTCCTTAATGGACTTTTGCTGATCAGAACTAAATGATGAGGCTTTAAGGAAAGTTGATTTGAAAGTGGAGATGGGTCACATATAAATTAAACAAACAAACAAACAAATAAGAATTCATTTAGAATTAAGAGAGGGGATAGGGCATGAGGCCATATCTCATTACATCAGCTGGTCCCACCTGGTCAGGCAGGGAAAGTAAATTGCAGATCCCATCAGCCAAAGGGTTCTGAATGCCACACTAGATCTCCATAGGTGGTCTTGCCATAGAGGTAGTTCTTGACTTATGATCATTCGTTTAACAACCATTTGAAGTGAGGACAGCTCTGACAAAAGTGACTTATGACGTGTCTCACACTTACGACCTTGGCAGCATCTTTGCAATCATGGTGACCATAATTCATAATAATCCAATTTATTTCCTCGTCATTGAAGTTCCTGATTTCTCCCCGCCCCCTGCCCCCCCCCGGAAAGAGGACATTCCAGACAAAGGCAAAATTGTATAAGTCAAGTTTTCCATAACTAACTGTGAGTTTCTTTCACAGGGTCAGGTTTGGGATTTACCAAAACAACAAATGCCAAATAATGGAATGTGGTAACAGGACCAAGCATGATTTCTTCATTTGAAAATTTCTGAATATAAGAAAAAGTTTTACTGTTTTCTGTAAGCACAATCAAGATTGTGTAAACATTAAGTCATATGGTTACTTAGAAACAATCAAACCGAAGCTACTAATTTTCTGCAGTTTTGAGCATGCACAATTTCACACAGAAGCCAGTGTCTGGCACCATGTTTATATTATCTCATGAGTTCTGTTTTCACTTACAAAGCAAAGGAGATGCCCCCGTCTTGCTACATGAAGCATATTCCGTTCTCTATGACTTGGGCTCAAGAGAACCCAGCATATGCTTTAATCACTAGGTCAGCTGACCTGAGACAGAGGTTTCTAATTTCTTTATTGGCAGAGACAGATGTGAAAATATTAGACAATTTCTAGGCTACAGCTAATAAATCCTAAATAAGACAATGTATTTCAATGTGTGTCCCCCTGGCCTGATATTAGACTTATTTCTTCTAATTCCTTATTGCATGGTTTAATGGACGCAAGATCAGATTCAGAATATTATCTGTCTGAGAAAGATGTTCCTTCGTAGAACATCTTTTTTTGGCTGTTATGTAACTTCTCTGTACACTAGTTTTCGCCCCAATTATATCCTATTTAAATTGTCTCTTATTTCTTCCATAATATTCCTCTTTGCCCCAAACTTGTTAATTATACATATGAACAATCCTTTGAAAAATGAGTTTGAATGTGATTAATGAGCCTGGTTAATAATCCTTAAAGCACATCACTGTGCAATTCAGGGTTGCTTTTCTTAAGCAGCTGCTAGGTCACAAATTAAATTTTTTGTTAAATGGAAAGGTGTGTAAAAAGCTTTTAAGATTGCTTAGAATCAGAGTTAGGGCCTAGAGATTAAAAAGAAAAGAAAGTAATGGATATGCTAATTTCCACTGATTCTAAAATAGGTATTTTGACCCACTCTTTGAACTACTTTTCTCCTGAAAAATGTGGCTTGGAGCAGAGAGTTCAGAATATGAATAGTATGTTATTTAGTAAACATATCATTCGTAATTATATCAAGTCATTATTTTTGTGTGTTTGAAATAATTCACCTCTTGGAAACACCAGCCACAGCTTGGTCCAGAGAGCAAACAATCTTCACAGTTCATGGCACTCCCTGAATCACAATTTCCTACATGGAAAATCAAGGAAATGTATTAGATTAGCTCATACTTTAATTATGTCAGGTACATAACATTCTGGGCAGCGTTCTGACTTCCTCAAAGTTAGTTTGTCAGAGAATCCCGTTTTACTTGTTTGTTTGAAAAGCCCTTAGGTATTTACAGAAGAGATGGAAGCGATCGTTAAAATTTCAGTAATTAAAGAAATAAATCTTGTGGAGCAATAGTTTTAACTGGAATCACTGTTAGGCTTTATACAAGAGGATAATTAGCATAAAGCAGCTTTTAATATTATTTTTATATTAATCCTTGACCTGGTCTGTCTACCTGACACTGAATCATTCTTCATGAACTCAGACCAAAGTCCTTAAAAAATTTTTTTTGGGGGGGCTATATTTCTTTAAGATGTTTATCATAATTACAGTGATCAGATCCAGAACCACAAAATCACACAGCTCACATGAACAAATACACACTCTTAAATTTGTAATCCATATATAAAACGAGCCTTACCTTGTACATTCTTATTCCTTTGTAGAAATAGGAAAAAAATGCAGAGCAATTCAATCCCCATTCGCTTTCAGTTCTGGCTGCAGGCACAAAATATATCGAACATTAATTAAGCTCAGAAAAAGGAAAGTTCGGAAGCCGTTAAGGTATGGCTGAAGGTTTTCAAACTATGGAGGTTTTCGAAGACTGTAACAGAAGGCTACATTGGTATAAAGGAAACAACAACAACAAAAAAATCCTGGTACCTAAGCAGGTAGCCTGATAGATAGGCAAGCAGCATGGTTATGGAATTTAACACAGTCCTTTTACTTCCTGGTTTGCCTTATAAGGAAGAGAGGTACGCAGTGAAAGGTGGAACAATTCTCACAGGTGAAGTACTGAACTTTTTCTTTTCTTTTTCTTTTTAAGATCAGAGATTCGTTTTATAGAACTCCGAAAGGTTCGTATCTGCTGCCCATAAATATTGGAACACAATGCATGTAGTTTTCCTATGCAGGCCTATTGCTTTTTAAAGCTTAATACGTTAGCCAAACTCCCTAATTTCTTAGCTGAACTCCATTCTAGGGATTTTATTTTGAAAAGGAATCTATACGCAATCCTCATCTTCAATACGGTCATTTTAAAACATAATTGATAAAATCCTACCCAGTTTTGTGTTGTTTGCACATTGGATAGCCTTTCTTTCCATCATCCATTGTCAAAGCCATTAACAAAAATGTGGAAAAATACCAAAGCTAGGACTCAACATTGTAAAAACCAGAACAATAGAAAAATAAAAAAACACAAACCATGCACGTCCTTAATCAAGTGGAATTGTACACTTAGCTTAGTACCCATCGTGATCCAAGGCTTGGTGGAATAGCCAGGATTCTACAGGCTTCTTGAACATCATCTGGGTGGAAGTCATATGAAACTCTGGGGTGGATCCTTTTCCCAGAGGACAGGTATCTCAGCAGAGAAATCATGTTTTGGGGGTGCCAATAGACAATATTATTTATTCAAGGGGTCCTGAAGCATTCCTTCTTTCCCTGATCATACAGGATGGGCAATTGGAGATAGGCAGTTCTGTGGATAACAAGGTCCTATGACATGATTGTAACAAGCATCTTGAATTGTATCTGGAAGCCAGCTAGCAACACTGCTTGTAGAGCAGTGGTGCCTTATGGGGCTATTGAGACATGCTCATGACCGAGTGCATTGCTGCGGCTGGCTTGTAGCTGTAGCATTCAGGTGGACTCAGAGGTAGCCCCATGTAGAGCCCAAAAGATGACAAAGGGGTGAGTGGTCATTTTGAGAGCTTCCTGGAAGCTTTTCTTTCCCAGCTTCGTGATTTTGTTAGGCTATATTCACTCTTCCTTGCAGTAAAGCATATGTCCAGCCAGATTCCAGAAGGATGACAATGGGAGTGGGCTGGTATTCAGTAGGGACTATGGTCACTGAGCACTGGATGTGTTGTCCCTCGGATTCTTGCCTTCCTATCCATTTAGGGAAGCCAATCCTTGTTGGCTGTCACCTGCTTAGCTTTTGTACAGTACACCAGAGCCTGCCCTTTTCTTTTAGGGATTTTTTTTTAAAAAAATTGATTTATATGATGCTCTTCTCCGGAGACTCAGGGCGGCTTACAATGTGCTAAGCAATTTTTACTCGTCCCAGTGCTTTTCCTTTGTTTTCCCATGATTTTGCCCACAGAAATGTCTTGGCAATTTCCTTTGATACTCCCTAATGCAGACCCTTTCTATTGTTTCTCCCACCCCTAGCACTGCTTGGCTCCAATGCAACAGGAATCAAAGCCATAGGAAGCAGGTTGTTAGCTCATTCCTACATTCCTGTCTAAGCCCCTGGGAGCTTTGTAGTGAGGACAACTGGCACATCACCTTCACAGAAGCAAAGTGGCATCTTCCTATGTGGCAGCTGAAATGTCTTTTTTAAAGAGAGGAAAGAGAAAGAAAATGCACAGAACAGTGAGCAGGGAGTAGGAGAGCAAGGAAAGCATGCTTCACCCAAGAAGACTCCGTAGAAACTGAAAAGGTTTCCATCAGGACTAACTGGAGCACAAATCTCCAGGACTGAGGATGTGAGCCATTGCTGATTTAATTGCAAGATTTAAAACATTGCAGAGAATATTGCAGTCTGGAAACTCAGGATGAAAGGGCTACGCAGTGACTCGCCATTAACAGAATAACAGAGTTGGAAGCGACCTTGGAGGTCTACTCTAACCCCCCCTCCTCAAACAGGAGATCCTATATCATTTCAAACAAATGGCTGTCCAATTTCTTCTTTAAAATCTCCAGTGAGGGAGCACACACAACTTCTGGAGGCAAACCTAATCCAAATTGGGGCTATTATTAAACAAAACAAAGCCCTGGAAATGCCCTTTAGAGTGAAAGGGTCAGGAAACAGCAGTTTTGAATGAGAGCTGGAAACCACAAAAGAAGGATGATTTTGCAGTGCGCTGGGAGAGGGAGGAGGAGTTGTCGAGAGTGGCCCATACCGGTGAATGATCAAGCAGAGTGTGTGGATCTACTCTACATCTATGAAAATATGTTATAAACAAAGTTCTTAAAAACAACTTTACTTCTAGATAAACATTGTGCTGATCAGCATTAATACAAAGTCATACAATGAATCCATCTTACCCAATTAATATTATTAAACAGCAGGATCTCCAACGTCTCGGCAATTTCCCCCCCTGTCTTTGTCTATAGAGACCAAGGATTGAACTTGATTTTCAGCTTCTAAATAAACATTTGAGTTATTGCTCCTCATACTTTTCGTGACTGATCCTCTAACAAACACTGCATATTTTTAAACTTCCCCAGAAGTGAATCCAGTAAATTGTCTTGGATCTAAAGGATCACATTATTCTGAAAACTTCTTGAGCTCTACTTCCTTCCAAGACAACCTGCTATTACAACTTCTACTTCATGTGTTATATTAACCTCTAAACAATTCTTTTATCACAATTCTTTTTAAATTATTCATATCACATTAAACTTGCTTTCCTATAATATTGCTCTTGACTCACCCATTGAAGCCTGAATAAATCAGAGATTGGGGCCCGTTGGATGACATGGCTCTCCATGCTTTAACAGGCTGGTGGTATCTGACTTTATAGAGTCAGAGTAGGAATGAGTCGAAGATTGGTGTCATGACAAGACTTATAGCTTACATAGCTTTACTGTGAAAGTCCCTTCAAAGCATCATCCATCAGACTTGCTTAGTTTTTGATCATTCATTTATTCATCCCTAATTATATCTGCAGTCTATCATATATCTCAAGGCACAATGATTTCTGGGCAATTCATAACAAAGCAAATATTCTGGACAAATTACAAGATGATCAGACAAACCTTTGTTCATCCACAGGCTTTCTCATTCTCTTTTCCCCATTTCATTTCCTCCCACAAAACTAAATATGAGGGGTCACACTTTAAATCCACGGTGAAGAATGAATCAACCATTCTTCATTTCTCTAAGATAAGTGAAAAATGCTAAGTAATTTAATATAACCTTATTTATCTATTCTTTTACACGGCAAATTTCTTCCATGTCAAGGTGATGCTTGTAATCTTTTCCTCACTGTTCATTTTATTTTTGCAGGTAGGTTAAACTGAAAGATGAATTACTACTTCTGGGTTATCCAAAGGTCTGAGGAGGGGATTTGAACCTGATTTTCCGAGATTCTCTGCAACTTTGCTAACAGTATGCCTGTGCCACACATTTTCAGTAGTGATGCCATTCATAGTAAATGGTACAATCTTATTGAATGATATACTGGCCCTATCGTTTCATTCACCACAAAGGTTAGACTGACTAGTGGGGCTATGCAACGGGCCTTCTCTGGGGTAGCCCCTTTTGTAGAACAGCTTCCCCTAAATTATATCAGCAACTTTTGGTGGCAAAATTGGCATCATAATTTCAATCCATTTGGATTGATATGGTAGTGTGTTAAGGAAATGGGTATGGTTTCTTTGTGTTTACCATGTCATGTTTATTTTACTTCAAACTAAAATAAAAACTGCATTACTATATTTCCCCCCCCCCCAATTTTGGTGGTATGAATTTCATTATATTGGAGGACGATAAACAGAGTGCTGGGAGTTTGACTTAGTTTTGTGTCAGTTAAATGAAACTATTTTTAATTTAACCATTTTTAATTAACAAGAAATAAGATTCTCTAGTTAGTGGGGAATAAACTCTAGGAAGAATGAAGTCTATTGCTTAGGTTAATTCTCCATCTAGGGAAGAGGATGGGCGAATAAACTTAGCATCCGAGTTGCTTCCAATAGCAGATTGTCACATTAGATTTCCCACCTATTACTGGACTCCACACAAAGTCTAGTGTGCCACAGCAAAAAAATCACTAATAACTTCTTCAAACATATATCTATTTTCTTATCACTTGGGGAAAATGTCAAATTTGAGTGAGGAATCTGTTAGTTAAGGGATGGCGAGAGGGGCTCCTCCAGACACTGTTAAACGTATCATTGTCAACACATCATCTAGACACAGTTTTCATCATCATTGTCAACATGACCATTGATGAGAGATAACAGGTCCATTTGATTATAATTGAGAAAGACCGAATGCCTATAGATTATGTTCCCCCTAAAGATATAAATTGGGGGGTTGTGTTCCTAACAAAAACCAGACACTGCTGATTAAAAAAAAGAGCTAAAAAGGAGAAAGTTTTTTTTTAAGTGTGAAAAATCAGAAACAATAATATGGACTTTTCCTGTCTGTGGGTCAAATTGCAAGCTTGATTGAACCTGCTTTGCTAACAGTATGCCTGTGCCACACATTTTCAGTAGTGATGCAAAATTGCCCCAAGTGATATTTATAATTACTAAAAACAGCACAACAGCAAAAAGACAACATATTGCTTGCAGCCACTCTGCCTATTACAAATCAACACCCTGAAAAAAAAATCAGAATCTGAAAAAGCAGACATCAGGTGTGAGATGAAACCAGACAAAAATATATCCTCAAGGCATGTCTTTTTAAAGTATTTGATCTCCAGAGCTACCTGTACCTTCCCCAACAAGCAAGATCTTGTTTTATTCATTGATTCAACACCATT